ATATATATATATATATATATATATATTTAATTTATAATTAAATATAAATATAATATAAATTTGTAATTAGTATTCATCGAATAAATATTTTTTAGATATTTTTTCTTCAGTGTACATATGTATGATAAATTGAAAATAATAAAGAAAATGCACTAATTTTAATTTTCAAAATACACATAAAGGAAATAGATATATAGAGAATTACAGATTTTTTTTAAATATAAATATAAATTCTTTTTCCGATTTTATACTACATTTTTAATAGTGCAGATATATACCATCTGTAAGAAATACAGTAAATTTTGCTAGAAACATACCAAATGTTTTTCAGAAATAAAAGGATAGTTAATTAATGAAATCATCAGTGAAATAATAGTCAATGATTGTAGAATGTCAATCTGTTCCTTATAAAATTCTATAGTATAATATTCTATAATAATGTGTATTGTAAAATTTTCTCCGTGTACATTTAAAATTTTAATGGAAAACTACTACGATATCAAATATCAATATACGTTATGCAAAAATACAGAATGATTGAGGTCCGAATTAATAGTTATTATCTGAGACTTGTCTCAAATAAAATACTCGGATTTAATTTTGGAGTTGATTATTAAGAGTTTGTGTATAGGCAGAATAATGTAATGTAAATTGAAAGCAAAAATCTTATTAAGGTAATTTAAATTGAAAATAAGAATCTTTTTAATGTAAATTGAAAACAAGAATCTTATTAATACTAGTAAAACAACATATATATCATGTACAGATGTTTCGAACCTTTTCCAATTGAGATAATGAGTAAATAAAAGTGAGAGATTACCGTCGCGCGGAAAGTAAACTAAATTAATTAAAGTTAAACGCAAAGCAGAAAGGCTGGAAGGATTGAAATTCGCATTCCTGCTTATTTCAACGAGTCAAAAGTGAAAGATTATCATCGCGCGAAAAGTAAATAAAATTAACTGATGTCTAACGTAAGACGGTCGAGAAGGATTGAAGTTCACATTCCGATGTATTCTAAAGAAACACGCCGGGGCGCGATGGAACACGTGACAAAGGCGAGGAATAACGAATAATATGAATAAAATTTTTCATTGAAAGATTGCATTACTCCAGCCAAAGTCCTCCGTCATAAACTACGTAAGCACAAACAAACATCGAACTGGATCGTTTACGGTGTACTGGCGATCACGCGAGATTATCGCAAGTTCGTGTGTGTAAGCGTACAAACTGGATACACTTCTACACAATGTACCTTTGTAATCGACGTGTGCAAGCTTATTGGTATACATACACCAAGTTGGTGTGTGCGATACCGATACATAGGAGGTACTCTAAGAAGATATCGCTAAGTGCCTGCCGATATACGGGACGGCAGATCAGTTTAAGACCACCTGCCCCAGAAGGTGGAACACTCCGCGCGAAGTAATCGGTTTAACAGTGATCGTGGATTTAATCAGTGACGATCGAACCGACATTGGAAATAGCTTAAGGACTTTGGTCGGCGATTGTCGCATCCTGAAGGAGAAATGGATCCAATACGAAAAAAGAGAAAGAAGACGCGCGACGAGAAGGTAATCGCTGTGCGATTAAATTGGATCGAATCTCGTCGGATTTAATTAGCAGGTCGAGAGTGCGAAAATTCCGATATCTTCGCTAATACAAGGAAACACCTTCTCTTACTTTGCGCAATTGACGTTTGTTTACGATAATTTCGCAACACACTTCTTTGTATTTTAAATCGTCTCTTAAAGAGAGTTATCCACAATTCATTACAAAATTTAAAAAGATAATTTGAAAAGAAAAGGCTATTATAGACTCTTCTTGTTTTAATTTTTGCATTGAGTAGTTCAGAATATTTTCTGTTTATTTAATTCTCGACGTGAGAGTCATGTGAATTATATAGTTCGTAATATCTATTAAGTAACGCGATAAGTATTACGATAGATTAAGTAACAACGTATATATCGCAGATTGATATCGCGGTATCTTGGCGAATGTGCGGAATGTCAAAGAATTAAGATCTTTTTGAATTTGGAAACGCCCGTCTTATCAATGACGCTCGTGAAGATAACAGTCGAAGAAAATCGACAGTCGGCGTGAAGTTACTTTGAAATACGCTCCAACGCGTAAAAATGCGCGCGTCGTATTGTTCAAGACTTCGTTAACCTGAATCTTTCTGGAATCTTAAGAATCTCGTGATTCTTTCAACGAAGTGTTCAAGTACGTCACTGAGATCATCGACGGATTTTTCATCTTTGTTCTATTGTATTGGAGCAACAAGGAAAACACTTCATGCGCCCGATGAGACATCGCCGAGGAAAATGCACAAGGAGAAAGGCGCGCCATTCTCTCTCTCTTTTGTGTTCATAATTATATAAAAATTGTTTTTGAATACGAGTCTCTCCGCCAGTAATCGCGAGGAAATGATCGCGGAAAATCAAGGAAGTTCGCGAAATTTTTATTTCTTGATCGAACATTCTTTACATATATCTTAACAATATAATTGGAATTACTTTACTTGGGACTGTTTAATTATGATACTTTAATTAGTATTACTTAGGATTACTTGTAACGATTGTCAATTTTAAATATTCACATATAAAGTCGAATATTGTACAAAATCCTGGTGTATAAGTATTAAATACACAACGCCTTTTGTATTCACAAGTCTGTTTTAAGCACGAGCGTTTAAAAAACAATGACACGCTTGAAACCAAGGTGATTCGCAAGAATGAAAATGCATGAATTCAAGTCACAATAAACGAGTGTTGAGAGCGCTTTTCCGTAACGTTCAATGTAATTATTTTACGACAATGCTGTCGGAAAAATCAATTATATTATAGAAAGAAAGAATCGAATAATACAGATGAAACATAAAATATAACAACAAATATATATTTTAAAATACATTATATTAATATTTTATTGATGAAAGAGGTACGCACGAGAAAAAGTCCAGTTATACTTCAAAAAATCATAATGAATTAATTTGCTCTTGCTTACTAGTGTAAATTGTTAAGACTATGTCTGTTATGTAACTACACATGCAAGCATTATTCCGATGCACTCAGATCAATGCTGTTCTTTTTTTCAACTTAGTCATGTTAAATTGTCGTTTTCTTATTTTGTTTTTGTGCTTAGTATATTATTACTTAGATATAGCACAAAATATTTCATTAATATTTTTATAAAATACAAATATTCTGAATTTTAGAATATTTAAATTGGATATTCTATGGATATACATTACTGTACAATATTGTGGATGAAAATTCGTACATTTATAATGATAAAAAACGTTCTTAGAACATTCGTAAAGTTTATATTTACTGCGTATGTGCAATGCATTTATGTAGCTAAAAAGTTTTCCAAATGTTCCAAATAGGAATACGCATTTATTATAGCTTAGTAATGAAATGTATCTAAATAAATAAAATACTCAAATTATTCTTTTATACGAAAAGCAAAATTAATGATTAACCTACATTTCGTAAATATTATAAAAGGATTCTATGCACATTTATGGAACTAGTGTCATTAAAATATATTATGAATGTATACTGTATAACAATGCACATTCATAGAATATACAAATATTCGTAAAGGATATTTATAAAACATTCATAGAATATATATATTCCTGTGTTATTCGTATATAAATTACGAACTTTTGCAACTATATTGTCAAGATTAAGATCTGCATTGAGAATTGAAAGTTATCTCACGTGAAATAATTATATTTGAATTTGGAATTAAATCTATGTTTTTTAATGAAATTATATAATATATGTAACATTGTAGTTGCAATTGTAATTCAACTGAGAAACTCACATATTTCTCTCTAAATTCAAATCTGAATATTTCAGATTTTTTAGACACGTTTTAGTTATCAACTATTATTATGAACTTGAATTATCAGTAATTCTCGTTTTCTTTTTGCATAATGATCAATATATTGGTCTTTCAGGGGATGTTAGAATATTGATTATTATCAGCTTCTATAATTTGCAAATTATTCTTATTTGGCTTCATAACATTTGCAAATCCTCGTACAATGTTAATGTACATATATTAATGCATGGCACTGTACTTATACAAAATATAAGGATAATTTTTATAACTACCATTTTATATATATATATATATATATATATATATATATATATATATATATATTTGTTCTTACTAAGCCCTTTTATACTATATTTTCGCTTTATGTAAAAAATCAAGAGTTTATATATGTATAGTGAAAGTTGAACGTCATCTAGACGACCTGAAAATATCATAAAATCACTAGAATACAATTTGAAAGATTAAATTTTTTAAAATTTGCAAACTACGATTTGCAAACTTACATATGTTGGCGTATATCTGGTAAACAGGATAAAAAAAGGCAACACACACACACACATACATATTAGTTCTCAAATAATCCGTTAGAAGTATTAATGCTATCTGTTTGACTATATATGAATAAACTGAATATATATGTGCACACATGCATATGCTAGATGTGCATATATGCACATATACATTAATATGAAATAAAAAATTAACACTATTAACATCTTTAATTCAGTATTAGCGAACTGCTTACACATATAGTATGCTGCTTTCTGTAGTTTTTTAGATATTTTTTCGACTTTTTACAACACTGACATCCTCATAATATTGTAGTTATTTTTTATTAAAATCCTAAATGCAATTTGAAAGTTGATATTTAAAATAGAACACATTGACATCGATACGGCTTAAAAAAGCGCATGTTAAAAGTGCCATATTCCAATATTCAAACAGTTGATCTTTCCTTAATTACGCAAACAGACAGATACTATTTCCATTGATGTGGTAGTCTAAGTTACAGCGAGTTACTGAGAAAATATACTTCACGAGACAACTACCTTGATGTGTCAAACTAAAACCAGTGCTCGTGCGCGGTGACATAACTACCGCATAAACAATTGCTCGTTACGGATAACGCATCGTCGCACATGACGGAGTTAGCAGAAACAAATTGAACTGTCAATCTGTGCGGCATGATTCATTCAATCGTTCAGTGCAGCTGTCAACGACTAAAAGCGTCAAGTAGTTATTAAATAACAAAATTATATTCGTCGAAAATGATTCACGCATTCGGCTGAAAAAAGTCGATTCGCTATTACGACATGACTGTCCTATTAATATATGCATGTGCCATCGTGAATTCAAGTCGTTAGAGTTCAAGTCGTGTTGTTCGCATACAATATTCGTCGTAATTATAAACGTAAGATTAGAACTTAAGCTGAAGAACTAATATTGCTTTACACTCAAAGAAATATATGTGTATATATATAGTCTTGCAACAATATACTTGCAAATATACTTGTAACAAGATTATTTAGATACAAAAAATTATGAATAAATAACTAGCAAACACTGTTGCAAATACATATCGCATATATTTTTATCTATATCTTTCTTTCTTTTTTATTTTTATATAATATATTTTATAATAATATATTATATATAATAACACACACACACACACACAGATATATATATATATATATATATATATATATATATATATATATTATTATCTATATATCATATCTTTTATCTATATTTAATCAATATAAATGACAAAGACAAAATTTCTACCTGAACCATTCGTAAAATTTAGCAAGAAAGTTTCCGCAGTGCCTATCTAGATTAAAATCAGTCATACTTATAAAAATTAACTATGGTAGACAAAAAAAGACTAACGAGAAGAGGCAAACGAATATATTATCTTCACACACACTTAAATTGTACACACTTGTAACATTGCTAGAATATTGCTGCTGTATGTTTTAAATAGCACAGAAAATTTTTCTAGCAGATACAAGAAACCACGATAAATTTTAACTGTGAAATTTAAAATTCTATCGGGAAACATTTTTTTCAACAAGTTTCTATATAATCTGGAAAATCTTGATGTATTGAAATCTTAACTGCTTTTATTTATATAGTTTATCACTATTATCTTCTTTTAGAATATTAATACTTAAAACACATCTTGAATCATTTTTTATCTTAAAGTTACATCTTACATTTACGGTTACAGCAATTTGTGCGCAAAGCTCCTTGTGACTATTAGAGATAATGGTTACGACAATATTACGGATAATGGTTACTGACTCGAATTCGTTCTCGCAATGACAGACCCGTATAGCATGATATTTTAACGAAAGACCAAAATTGCTCAAGAAGATCCCTATCATTCACAGAGAGATTCAACATACATTCTAAAAAATGCAGTGATAGTAAAAATTATCTAGATATGAGACATTAGCTAAGATGGATAAATGACTAATAAATATTGCGTGATATCGTATATCTTTTAATTTATATAAATGACAGAATATACCTGAAATATTTGTAAAATTTAATTAAAATTTAGCAAGAAAGCCTCTCTGTAGCACCCATCCAGATTAAAGCCATTTAATAATTGGTAACGGGACTTAAATTTGCCTGCAGATATTGCTAGAATGCTGCTGCTGTAAATGTTACGTAACACGGACAATTTTCTCGCAGAGATACGAGGGACAGCGACAAATTCTAACTGTGACATTTAGAATTTTACCTGCAGCAACAAAATATTTTTTTTAGTACCAAGAAGTGTCTTCGCCTCACACCACATTCTCTCATAAAGTGATTTAATTTCTCATTGAATAATTATTCTTGCGGAGAAACTTTTTCTTTCTTGTTCTTTCTCTGCCGCAAAAACAGATTATCGCGGAAAAGTTTCGGAATTTACTCGCAGTGCCTTCATAAGCTAAGAAACCACTGAATCTCGATGGAGCCCGACACAGAGAGCGCGTCCACCGCGGGTAATATTAACGAGACTTAATGAGCCCACTCCCACAGACGGTTCCAGCGATCGTCATCCTCCCGTCCGCCCGTTCCGTGCTGCTTAGACCTCTCTGACCGGTCCCGTCTCTGTTCTACGACGCAGAAAGTGCTGCTATCCATCGTCAATCCTTGGGACGTAAAAGTAGCCAGTGTCGATCCGGTTGGACTGGCCGCACGACGAGGCGTCTCCCTGTCCATCCTGTCCTCGGCTCAGGACGAGGATAATGCCATCCAGGAATGGCCAAGCTTGGGCAGGACCGTCAAGATACCGTCACCGTGGTACAAACCTGGTAGCGGGTCCATCGGTCACGTCAGCTCACCCAAATTCGAAGAGACCGCGCTAATCGATACGAACTTCCTGCATCCTTGGTACACGACGCGAAGGTATCGGCAGCCTTGATCTTTTTGTCGACTTTAAAATCGATTTCAATGAAATCGGCACGAAGGTAGATGCCGAGCCGTCCAGTTGATATGCATGAGACTTCGCAACATGAAACGCGATCGCGAAGAGATTGTTTTTGTTCCATAATGTACATTGGGCTCAATAATAAACGTATTTCATATGCAGGACCTCGTGTATATCTTTGCCGATAACACTTAACTTATATTAATTAGATAAACACAGTTGAATATTATTAGAGATGTCTCATGAGCACAATATTTGTGTTTGATAACTATCGCTATATTAATGGCTGTCGTTACTTGAAATTTGGCTCATGTAAAGTACTCTCTTAAAATAAATCAGTCAAACATCACTGAAAACAGTGAATATACACTGATTGCAGTTATAAATATAGCACTGAAAGTGCTCAGTGCTATACTCATAATTGATATCAGTGGCTATTCACTGATTCACTTTAAGAGAGTACATATATCTAAATTTAGGCTTGCATTAATGACAGTTATTTTAAACTTATCCTAAGTGAGATATTCAGGTTTGAATTAGAATTAGAATTCAATGTTTGAATTTAGAATTATATGTGAATTGAATATTGTGACTACAAATACGATACCACATATATCGTATTATTTGATTGGAAAATTCTAGCATTAAAATCAAACCTGAGTATTTCATCTAAAATAAGTTTCGAGTAAGCTTCAAGTGAGCTTCAAGTAACGACTATTAATCCTGGTCTTGGATTTAGATATAAATGTTTTAGTTGAATCGCTATTATAAATATGACGTTGCGTTGATATAATATAATTTAACTAAAAAATTGAGATCTAACTTCGAAATGAGATTTGCAGAAGACAAATTTTCAAAGTTAAAACTATTAAACCGAATCTAACTGACGTAAATCGATATATCACGTTGATATACTAAAAAAAATATTTAATAATAATATTTGATAAATATTTGATATTTGATAATATCAAGTTTGAGTAATAACTACCAGATGCTTTGGTGAAGTAGTTACAACTAAACATACAAACATGGTAAATATAATCAAATAATTTGACAAATATTAACAAATAACCTTATCAAAGCTCGTAGTATTTGTTGCTAAGACTTGGTGACTGTTACCAATTTATTTGGTACATATCACTAAACAATTTGTTTAAAAAAATCTTATTGTGTCTAGTAATATTTATCATTATATGATAAATATACGAAATGTAACCAAATACTTTGGTAGTATAGACACACTATTTAATAATTATTACTTATATATTTGCTGTTATTTACCAAACTATTTAATCGGTTCAATTGAATAAAGAATTTGTTTTACTAATCATTTTGTAATTATTACTAGATGGTTAGTAATTATTACATTTGACTAATTACCAAATATCACAGTGAAATACTCGAACAAATATATTTGTTAACTATTACAGGATTTTTTTCTCTATGTAACTGTTTATATGAATTACTTAACGATCCCAAGGTTTGTCGATGCGTTTTGCAGATCGCCTGTCAACGCGACACGCAAGTCCTCGTCGCTGAGTCCTTCCAGAGAGAGACTGCGAGACAGTGGCAGGCGTACGAAGGAAGGCAACAAGACAGAACGCGACGCCGAGGCGGACGAGGTCGACAGTGGATTAATCAACGGCACGCAGGAAATTAGACGCGACGATTCCGATGACACGGACGGCACCGCGGCGGCGCGGGTGCGTTTCGAGATCGACAGAGCGCGGCCGCAGCGGAATGGAGTGCGATGTGAGGACGAGCAAGATGTTAACGATACGTCGCGAGTGTTGACCGAGACTCCGAGAGGGAACAGTAATTCAAAGTCCGAGCACGCACCGTCGGCGATCGCGAGGCAGAGTCACGCGAACGAAGTGACCGTGGAAAAGCGGGAAAATTTGCGAAAGACGGACGATGTAGGAGATGACAGTAATCCTCGTGTAGTCAAAGAGGAGTCGACAGTCGTCAACATCGTTCAGCACTTGGTGGAATCCAGGTAATTACACTGAGGATTAAAGATGAAAATGACCCAGTCTGTGTGACGGTAGCTTACTCGACGGTAAATTATGGTAAATTATTCGGTAATTTTGGAAAGCTGGTAAAATAGTAATTGAGAAAAAAATTGCAGAAATAAAAAATTTTAATATAAAGTTCAGAAGAAATATTTAAAATGAGTAAAATCTTTTATTTAACTCATTTTTTTCATACAATATTTTGACATTGTATATTGATATACTATATATTGTAATTAGGAAACTAGGTACATAGAGAGAAGAGTAACTAGAGAAACTTAAAAGTCTCTATATTCTTCATACTATCTATATTTTTTATACTATTTCACAGGCTTACAGCATTTTCATTTATTATTTTATTGTTTCAGCGACTAGACTGTAGTATATAATTAAAAGTTTTCAATAGTATTTTGAAAAATGAAAACTTTATTATGTTCGAAGAATTGTAAATAGTTTCCTTTCTTTCATCTAAGAGATATTTTACAGATTACCAGATATCCATTTGATAAGAATATAAAAAGAATATTGTTTTATCTTATGCATAGTGCGAAAAATATTTGTGCATGTAACTATCAAAAACAACAAACTTTACCAAAATTACCAATAAATTGCCATCTTATCGTAACTTTATCGTAAGTAATCACTTTGAATCTGACAGTAATTTTGAATCTCTTTTGTATTGGTTTAATCTGGGCGAAGTAGAAGAGAGATAGATAAAATAAGTAGACGAAATAGATATAGAAATAAAAAGCAATTATAAATTTAAATAGAAGAAGAATAAATAGAAAATGAGTAGAAAAAAATAAATAAAGAAATAATGGAGTATAAAAAGAAATAAACAAAGAATGAATGCAGAAAGAAATAGATGAAATAGACTTAAAGTCGAATATTCGAGTTTTGAAATTGTATATTGAATATTTTTCTTATGTAACATATTTGATATATATTGTTTTGATTCTGTTGCGTGCTAAACAATAAGAAGTCGCTTCTCGTAGTATGAATTTTATTCTACACATCACAGAACGTCGCAGTGTTCTTCGCTTTTTTTTTTAAGATACAGTCCACAAACCGCGACGGACAGGAGAGTGAAAAGGATGCCATCATGTCGTCGACAAGAAGCATCGAAAGAAATAGATCCAGTGGGTAAGACAACGGGTGTTTATATGTTAACAATATTACGTAGAACAGATCGACGATATAGGCCCATTAGACGGGTGTTACGTCGGAATTAAAGCGAGATCTTCTGGTAGTTTGGGCTTGTTGGGGTTGTTTAAAATCAGCCAATTTGCCAACCATAATACAGGATCGGCCGGTTTAGTTTTGCAACACTACAAAGCGAAATCGTGCCATCACAAATGAGCCAAACAAATCATTGAATAGAGATATCGCGTGTAAATTCTCATCAGAAGAGAGATCACTTTTACCAAAGTTAAACCTTCAATAAGAACCGGATTAATGATTTTCCACAAGAAATCTTCAGCCTTCTCGTCCCTTAACAAGGGTTCAATTATGACTGAAAAAAATTTAACGCACAAGCTAAAAGAGTAGCATTGAGTACAATAATATAAGCAGTAGGAAATTATTCTTACAGTCGGGGAAGAAAAAGTGAATTTCTTTCTCGGCTCTTTCGTGACTGTCGCTACCGTGTACAACATTCTTCAAGATTTCTCCTTTCCGACCGTACCTTGCCCTGATACTATCGGGAAAATACAAGCGCGCTTCAGTCACCTGAAATCCAATTTCTATATAGTAACTATTTTGAGAAAGAAAACTTGAGGATGACTGAAAGTCTTGGGACAACGATGTTGTGTATATTTGATTTAATATGGTTTGAATTTTTCTCTTAATGCAATACTTAATGTAGTCGACAGTCCAATGAGAAAACTTAGTTTTTATTAATTCCCAGAAGTTACTTTCTAAATTTCTTGCAGTGAAATTTCATTCGAAAAGTAGGATAATCACTCAGTAATTCGAATTTAAATAATTTTTTATTTATATAGTAGGAATCCTTTATTCTGAATCGTCGGATGGATATTTCCACTCGCTTCGAGAAGGAAAATATTTCGACTTTTCACTTGTTTTGAATAACACTTTACTCTAATATAATAAAAAATTTTTTTGTTAAATTTAATATATTCAACATTTCTCAATTAATCCATTGTAATTTGTGCGTTAATTTAACACAAGAAAAATATGTAAACAAACAACACGTAAAAAATATACAATATAATAATAATATGTCAAATATACATAAAAATATAACATGTAGTCTCTATTGTGTTATTTTAACATTAAGAAATTATTTATATAAACTCTACGCAAAATGATCAAAATAATATAACGACAATATTTTAAATTAACACACGAGAATGATAGAAATTTAACAAAAAAATTTCTACACGGATCGATTTCAACATAAATGTTTTTTACCGTGAAAAAATGTAGAGAATAAGACCTCTTATTGGACCATTGACTCCCAAATTACATCGAAAGTAAAATGTTCAAATCGTATGAAAATCAAATATATATACACAGAATAATGCATATTACATTCAAGCAAATGTTACTTGTCAAGTATTTCGTAAGTTTACATATCCGCAAATTTATCATAAATTTATTCACAAGCATCAAACTTGCTCAAAATACATTCTAAATCCTAGTAAATCTCAATAAGTTTCAGTAATTAAGAATAATAAATTGTAAAAAAAAGTTCAGTTTGCTTATTACATAAAATCAAATCAAAACTAATCTTTGATAAAGTCTATTCTTGTAAAGAGAATAAATTATTCTTTCAAAAATATATGATAACAAGATTTTCTAAAATTTATAATGAGTATATTTGAAGTTATTGTTGAAAAAACATTTTTTATTGAAGACAATCACTTAAAAATTTTTAATGTTTTAAATTGTTTTCAGTTACTTTAAAATCTTTACTTAGAATCCTAAACATCAAAAAGTTACGTGAACTCTAAACAGAGATCAATTTTACTCAGCGCATTTTTATTTGCTCACAAATTTCGAAAGAATTTAATCTCTTTTTCAATCTGTGTAGAAAATATCGAAAAATATGAATCTATTAATGTTTTTGCGAATCAATGAGGTTAAAAGGAGTTACAATGGAAAAATAAAACACATATTTTTAAGGACCGTGACGTTTAGAAAGTTCGTCTGGGCAAATTTTTCCTATATTTAGGATTCTAAAGTTAAAGGAAGGAAAGTACAACCACTCACAGTTAGAAATCTTAAAACAAATGTTAAAATTTTATTACAAATGTTATTATGTATTATCTGTTTTTAACTGTTATTTTAATGTAAAATTAATCTATTACATATATGTTATTATTTTCGTTGTATTTTAATATGTTATATTAATATTGACTTAATAATTTAACGTTTCTTGTATGTTACTTTGAAAAGGAATATTATTTTGAGTTCTTTTAATACAATTATTTAAAAAATGACATTTCTTAAAATCATTTTAACATTAGCAAGAATTAAAAGACGACTAAATCACTGTAAATTTTGACATACGGAATTACTAAATTTTTTAAGAGAAAGTGTTTCTATCACAAATAAATTAAGTTAAAGTAATTAATAGTAATATAATAATATAATCATATATCATATATATATTAATATAATCATAGGTTAATATAACATAAAAAATAAGTTATAACGCGTTCATCTTTATATATGTTCACATTATATGAACAGCCATCGACATGTCCCATCGACATTCTTTATGAATTATTTTAACTATACTTCCGTATATTTTTTAAATTTCTTTTTGTACCTCTTGTAATTCTTTATGTACTTTATTCTTTTCTAACTATTCTTTGTTAACTATTATTTCTATAAAACTTGAGCTTACAGTCAAAATAACATAATTGTAAGAAAAAATTGATGAGTGTCAATTAATTAAAATTCGTAATTTATCGATAAATAATACATCACGAATGAATTAATTTTACACAAAATTTATAGTGGACTTTTTGGGACATGTGAAAAATGTTAAAATTATTTTAACGTGTAGGCCAAGTAACTGCTTTTTTTAGCGTAATATTTTTCTGTATATACCGTGGTTGGTCCTATGATCAGCTTCCATTCCTCGACGGCGTTCAGCTTGGCCAACACGAGCACCATGATGGGTCCGGACGACATGTACGTCACTAGAGACGGGAAACACATCTCATCGAAGCGATCGTCGTAGAATTCCGATGCCTGTTCAGGCGTGAGCTGTAGCCAACGCGTCTGACAGATTTCAAATCCCTCTGTGTGTATAATATGCTCGATTTGCTTCCGATAAATCACCGCTTCTGGCTTCACGATGGCCAAAGTGTACTCGATATCCTGTTTTTTCTCGACCACGTCCTTGGTATCTCGGCCAGTCTCGCAGATGCAGACCGCCGACAATTTCAAGCTATCATCTTCCGCCTCGCCGGCGCAATCGCATTCCGTCGGATAGGCGGATTTGTACTGCGATTATATCGGCGCAATTGTTAATTCGCGCGCGACAAAGTATCTCTCGTCGACTACATACCGTTCTGCTCGATTCGCTGGAGGAACTCGTACTCGCGGACTTTACCGTAGAATCGCTCGTGTCATTGCTATCGGATTGCGTGACACGATTCAGCACCCAGCCGGTGTCGTCGGGAGCTGTGAGCTCGAAAACGTCTTTTCCTAGGTAATACGACGTGAATTTCGAAAAAATCATCACAGTTTCTGGACCAACCTTCCCGGCAATTTCGTCGTCTCGTTCTTGTGGGCAATCGCACATCCTTATTTCTACTATTTGTTTCTTGATATTACTTTTATTATGCCTTTTTTGCAAATATATATCAGTATGCTCGAAAGAAACGTGGAAAGAGTAAAGAATTCATTAGATTTCTCTCTCGTTCATGTCGCATTCATAGACGCGTCTGTTGAAGTTAATAAAATTATATCGGACTTTGATATTTTTTTTTATGTGGTAAAAAAACTAGCAAACTTTCGACTTTTCTTTAAACTCTTAACATATTTGTTACCAGTGTCATACATGTGTAACAGCAATTTTTCTTTCTGTCTCCACATAAATGAAGTGTGGTTCATATTAATAGTTGTCACCTGAAATTTGTCTCATACGAGATACTCGAATTTATATTCAGAGTTAGTTCCAAGTTTTTCAATTATATTTTATGTGACATTCATATTTATATTCATGTAATTCAATTGAAAAACTCATCTAATTTTGGATTCAAATTTGAATGAATTTAAAAGAGATGATTTTCAAATAATAATTATTAATACGATCCTAGATTAGTTTTATACAATTACTAGATTTATACAAAAAGTTTACTGTTTATCAAATAAAATAGAAAATTATATTATTCAATTCAAAAGATTAATAATTTTTAGCAATAAAATTAACAAGATCATGATTCAATAGCTTTTTAGACATTCTACAAGCATCTTTTATTTTCCTTTTAACAGCCAAAAAGTGATAAATTTTTTGTCAGTTTCTACCAACTTAATATGTAAGAATGAATACAATGAGATCTATGAGTTAAATTCTCAAATAATTGTGAATAGAGTAAAATACATTTTGCATTTAATTAAATGTTACTTACTTCAAATATTCATATCCGCAAATCTATCACAAGTTCGCCATTAGCATCAAATTTATCCAAAATACATTTTAGATCCTAGTAAATTTAGAATTTGCATCAAGAATATTAAACTAAAATAAAAATTCGGTTTTCTTACTCCCTAGAGTCAAACCAATTTTTTCTTTATTATTTATTAATCGTCAAAAGAGAGAGAGAGAGAGTGAGAGAGAGAGAGAGAGAGAGAGAGAGAGAGAGAGAGAGAGAGAGAGAGAGAAAGAGCGAGAGAAGAAGGAATATCTTTCGGGCAATTTTATGAATAATACTAACTTTGATTTTAATTATCTCAGCTGCGGCATGATCAATCTTTTTCTAATTACATATACGTGTATACATCAATCGTGTTTTGATTCGACAAAATGTTAAAACTTGAAAAAAAATTCCTAAAAAAATTATTGCATAAAATAAATATTTAAAAAAAGAAGAACAATCATCGCTTTTCTTAGTTGTAGAATAATATTTTTCTGTGTGTGCTAAAGAACATGTTAAATTGTTGTTTGCAATCTGCGTGCCCGAAAATTACAGCGATTATCAGCTCCGGTGATCTTTTTGATCTCCGATCGCACCGGCGCTCCTGTTATCTTAATATTTTCTTATGAAAGTTTACACTGCGATAAGTCAACATAAAAAACGCGGGGTGCGATTAAACATGCATTGCGCGTCACGCGCGTCGCGATTTAGATAAAACGATACTGAATACCGAGCGAGCGTGTTTAAACGCTTGTAATTTTTATCCGACCATTTCCTCCGGTCGCTTTTCAGATATTTCAGGCGAACTGAACGATAATGTGGACGAGGTTATTAACATAGTCAAACCAAAGAGTCATCAAGAAGCCACCGACGAGAGAAAGACGGCGAAGGTGTCGCCGAATGTCGTAGGACTGCGAGCTACGAACATTAGAAAGACTAGCATCTCGATGCCCAGCAAACTCGACGAGATGGATGTTCTCCGAATAGATAGGCAGAACGTAAGTCGAATTTGCTATCAGCATCATACATGTGAGACACATTGAGATAGGGATGATATAATCTGACGGCAGCTTACTCGGTAAATTACGGTAATTTTGGAAAAATGCTAATTTTGAAAAAAAATTTTTTAAATTATAGAAATAGAAAAATTGACATAAAACATAAAAAGGAACATTCAGTCTTTAAGATGAGTAAAAAACTTTAAATAATTCTATTTAATACTTTATTTAACTTATATTTTCCATAAAATATTTTATAACTATACTAATATTTTAATATATAAATATTTTGATGATGTACTATATATACTATGTATAAAATATAGTAAGAAACTGGAGAGAGAGGTGCATTATAACTAAAGAAACTTAAAACAAATTTTTTTTATTAGAATTCTCAAAACAAAAACTGTTACAGGTGTAATACAGTCTTAATCTATATTGTTTACCATCATACCTTACAATATCATCAAACTTACAGTATTTTCATTTATTACTTTGCTGTTTCAGACTTGACAGTGGTATATAATTGAAAAATTTTAATAGTATTTCAAGAAAGGAATAATTTTAATACTTTCTATAATACTAATAACTTTAATACTTTTGAAAGATATAAAGTTTTTTTTCATTTAAAAGAAATTTCAGTTATCAGTTGTACATTTAATGAAAATATAGGAAGAATGTTGTTTTATCTTAAGCTTAAGTTTTATCTTAATTAATATAACCTATTTATGTATAAAACTATCACAAACAACGAATTTTACAAAAATTACCAATAAAAAAATTAAAAATTACCATCTTACCGTAATTTTACCATAAATAATCGTCACTTTAAATCTCCTCTAATTTTATATATCCAGTGACATATTTTGTTAAATATTCAATTTGCTTAAAATATTCAATTTGCTTAAGTTAATACATTTTATATATGAATAAGTGCATGCATAAAATTAATTATGACTATTAAAAATATATGGTGAGCAATTAAATAACATTTAATGCAACAAAACAAAATTTAATATATAATCAAAAAATATATGTGATTGAATATTCTCTTTGAATAATAATGTTTCTCTTCGTCAAATATAGTTTAATCTAACGAAACAAAATATGTATGTGTGTGTGTGCGATATTTGATATAAAATTGTATTATTTAATATATAATTATTCTGTTAATATATTCTGTTAATATATTTTTAATATATAATTGTTTTTCAAACAAATTGCAAAGTCAAATAGAGCAAAGATATTAAATCTAATAAAACATTTTTGTTCGCGAGAAAATTTTTTTCTCTAAAAATAAGAAATTATAATAACGTTAAAATGACGAGGAAACAATTGAATTATAATTGAAAAGTTTTTATAGACATTTTCTTATCACTTTGATATCATCATGATTTTCAGTTCTACCTGGAAATGATTTTTAATTTAAGCGCGATAACTAATATGTCAACGAATGTGCCGAGATGAATATTGCACTGGGAAAAAAGATATTAAAAAGATATTTGAAAATTGATTTGTAGGATATAAAGTTTATTCATAAAAATAATATTATATAAATATTATATTCTATAAATAAATTTTCAAGTATTTTTTCTCAGTATGCACAGACATAAGACAACGAAACACGATGAAAGACAACGAAACGCTCGTACCAAGCGTCGTTGTACGGCGAAATTAGCGTCGTGCTGACGATTTTAGTACGAAGCTCTAAAAAAGTAACACATTAGAGTGATGTCTCGCTGTGAAGAGAGAGAAAGAGAGAAAGAGAGAGAGAGAAAAACTTTGCGACACCGTCTGAAACATTCTGTTCATCCTGTTCAAGTTTGCTATTTGATATATGACTTATGCACATGTACACATCACTGATAAGAGTTACATTTCTGGATGTTGGAGACCCGACATTAGTGTCGTCGTGTCGGGACTATCGAGGTGTGAATTTCATGGTGATAATGTGATTAAGAAGAAAATGATCGCCGTCTTCGATTGGCGAGTTCGTTTCATTACACAGGTGTCGACGTATCTTGCACTCGCTCGCTCACATTCAAGTGAATCTTGTGTGTTTCAGGGGACTGCCTCGAAATTCACGAGAGCAGAAAGTGACAGCAGCAGCGTGACTTTCAGCAACAGCGGTTCGACACCGAACGGAAGCCCTCTTCTGGGTTCCGAGACGGAAGAGGAAGCGAACGACGAGGAATTGGTCAAGTAAGTATTAGATTAAAACGCTTAATGAATATTAGAGGAGATTTAAATTTTAGTCGGATAATCCGCGTTTAACAATCAAATTAATGATTTCGCAACACCTCATATGCATTTGTAACGTTCAGATCGTGACTCGTTAATATATGGAGTGCGAGAATTTGCACATTATATACTCGCACTATATCTACGTACAATGATTGATAATAAATGTAGCAATCTGTGAAGCAATAAGAAAATGTTATATAAAACAATAGGCATACATACAGAGGATTTTTCTGTGCAACTAATATAAGAATTAAAGATCAAATTATGTTCTTTTTTAAGAACATAAAAATCAATTACTAATATCAATACTAATTTTCACGTAATTTGTATTTAATAAATGAAAAATTTTATGAAGCAAATACTTAGACCTATATGCTTGAATATTTATTCTTTATAATGAAAATTTTTGGTAAGTCAACCAATTAAATGTATATATATATATATATGTATATAGATTGTAGACATTTATATTTTATTTTTATATTTTATATTTTATAGTTTATATTTCATATTTTTATATTTTTATATTTTACATTTTATATTTTTGGCTAAAAAAATTTTTTTTGTAATTGTTTAGTTAATTTTACAAATACTCATTATATCTTACTACAAGCATCAATAAGATTAATAAATTCTTATATCCATTATATTGACAAGTAAAGCAATTATTTATCTTACAAAAAGTATAAATTCATAGAAATAAATTTGAGTACTATAACTAAAATTTTAAGATGTAAGAAAACATTTCTACTTTATTTTTGTTTTTTATTCTATATTGTATGTATATTTTTTCTTTATATTAAAACTTTGATTATTTTTATTTAAGAACTAAAACGATAAAAATATCCTGGATTAAAAATGTATTCAGACATTGGCACTTTTATCTTACAACAGGACATGTACGCAATCAATCTTGTTCGATGTCTCGACAGTGACACCTCATACTTGCTATAACCCGTTTGAACCGCTTTAATCCGTAAATCGTTATACATGCAATTGTGTGTTTGGAATCTGAAGATAATGATTCGTACGAAATGCAAATATTTCAACTTCTTCTGACGACACTCATCTTGAATATACAATTTGGGTTGTAATATATCCTTCAAGTTGCACTTATTCTCGTGACCAGAAACTACGTACATTCCGAGCAAACAAATTAGACATACCTATCTGACCTTGCTCGTGGTCGCCGTATTATCGTCGACGCGACCTTCTCGTCTCAGGGTTATCGCTCCGTACACTCGACTCCCACGATCGTCTGTTTCGGTCAACAGTGCTCTGCTCGATCGCAATTATAGCTTCCGCGCTGTTTTCTTTTGTTGTGACAGCGCGCAACAGTTGCTCTCGGATTTTTCCACCATTCTCACGTTTTATTTTTCGCGCATCAGATATGCGAGTGCTCGTCGCGTTTCGAAGATACACGTGTCTATAATAGCAATTGTGTCTGATGTCAGAACATGACGTAGCTGAAGACTGAAAAGCACAAAGTAAAAATCGACTAAAGGCTTTTACGATTTGCAAGATAGCAGGATGATTCCCAGATACGATGTCGGTAGCGCCGTCTCGTTGCAAAGGTACGAATTTTCGGCAAAAGTCTAGGGAAAATCGCATCTTTCTCCACTTAACAAATATTATTGGAAACCTCAATAAATAATTTCATTGGCTCAAAAGATAAGTTATTTTGCAGGCGCGAAATAACTTTTTCAAAATTGGCTACCCTTATAGAAATATCATACTAACAATCATTGATAATTACTTATTATCCAGTATTTTTAATACTGAAAATAAGTAATTATCAATGATTCTTAGTATGATATTTCTATAAGGGTAAAAGTATGATGTGTGTGGATAATAATAGCAGAATATTTTGATTGAGTTTGGGGCATGTATTTTCTAAATTTTATGAAATAATAAATTCCGAAACAAAAGTTTATATTTGAAAATTATCATGAAAATTATATGTATTGTCCTTGGGAACAAAACTAAATATTTAATTCAAACTTATGGTAGATTTTTTATGCAAACAAATGTTTCAATTGATCAGAATGAATTTGTTCCGGTGACAATAGGTCATATTAAATAATCATTCTTTAATTTTAAATGAAAATAATTATTCGACGATTTAGAGTGAAAAAATTTACTCTCGTAAATAATCATTTGACTTCCAGTGACTATCTCGATTGTTATCTTATATTTCGCGTAGAATTTTACGCGAAGAAATTTAGAAAGCACTGTTTCGTTATTATTAATAAAAAAAAGTATGACTAAAAATTCAAATTGCGAATATGGCTTAAAATCCAAATAACGCAAAGTCGTTAATATATTTAAAATATTGTTGATTGATATTTACATACACAGAGAATTTTACAACACATTCTACTGTACTGAATTGATTATTCTTTCATCTCATATGTGCTATTTATATCTTATGAATCGAAATATATTACTAAACATTTTTCTACGTTCCTAACAAAATTTACTATGTTTCTTAGTAGATCCCAAACAGATCCAAAGCGTTGAGCTAATGTTGAATCTATAACGACCAATGCAAAATCTACGACCAACCTTTGGCTAACTAATATATGCTGCTAGGGATAAATCTTATTACTCATACAGCACAAATCTTCAAAGAACGTTCTAAAAATGTTCTAAGGACATTCATACATTCTAAGAACGTCCCAGAACATTCTCTGAAGATTTGTGCTGTCTGGGTAGTAACTTATTCTTGCATTATTAGAAACATAGTAAAATTGAAAAGAATTTATATAAAAAGAAATGTTAATATTCTCTCCGTATATAGTTTAATTATACAGTAGGTAATTGTATGAAAACCTTTCTCAGAGTTCCATTGCAAGCTCCACCACGAAGGAAGGGCAGGGCCGTGTCGCCGTCGATGAATGAGAAGATGGGAAATGATCCTACGGAACTCTCGAGCGTGCAAAGTGCAAATTCCACGATAACCAGCGTGAACAGCATAAGCAGTCTCTTGAAGGAGAAACTGCAATTATCGATACCACAGGCTCTGCGAAGCAGCAAAAGGCGTCAGAATGCCGATTACAGGTACATTTTCTTGCCCTCGTACATCAGTTTAAATAATTTTAAATAAATTTATCTCTCTTTTGTTAAATAATAATCTTCAAGAACATAAGAAACTTCATTTCTCCCGCAGGCTCAAAGCTTTTGTCGGTTTCCTCTTCCTCTGCGTCGTCTTCCTCGTGAGTTTCGCACACATTTACTATACTCAGCACGTTCTGCAACGAGCTTACTTCAACAACTTTAGGTGAATATTACTCATCGTGATAAATACAATGCTTCCCATACAGCACAAATGTCCAAAATACATCTTAGGAACATCCCAGAAGTATCCAGATATCTCTAGAATGTTTCTAGAATATATTTCAACATTTGTGTTGTGTATAGATTATCGATCTTCCAAGTTATATATGTCGCATTAACGTAAACATTTAACATAAATAGCTGTTCAAGAGCACTCACCGAATCACGATAAATTTGATAGCTCACGACGTGGCATCGCTTGCCTACACCGTCGAATAACTTTCGGTCGTTTGCCTCTGCCAGGAAGCGCCTAATGGAATGCATTAAGGCTCATTTATCATACCATGATCTCACTGTCAGTCTCAAAATGCGTATTCAATTGTTAACCCGACACATATGCTTGACTTTTTATGGGGCACAGAATCGTGGGAGAAAAATCGTGGCAGCGATTATTAGACAACACACGGCCCAGTCAATTATTCCTCATCGCCTTCTCAACACTTCGTTCCACATTTCATCGTTCTCTGTACAGAAATTTCTTTATCCTAATCATTTATCTTGTCGATTCTTCTCCTTAGGTTTAACAAGAACGAGAGGGTAATGAGAATCTATAGTATCGCGGACGCGGAGATCATCGTCGCGAGGCTCGGCGAAGGCATACCTGCGGACACAGGAGTGTACCCTTGCCTGCCGCATCATCAGAAGCAGGACTCAGTTTGCCTAGAGTGGCTGCAACAAACGCGCCTCTACCTGGCGCACACGAAACGCGAAGACATGCACTGCTATCACGTGACCTGGCAAAGCCTGAGCCCAAACTACAACCCTAAGGACTGCTTCGACTGGTCGTCGAAGCGCGGCCATTGGTACGGCGCCGGTCAGATCCAGAACATGGCCTACCCGCTAGAACGCGGACGCCTGGAGCTGAGTCCCTTTGTCACAGGCGACGTGAGGAAGCACCCATTCGGCAACGTGTTGAAGAGATACTTCTTGAGTTCCAAGGGCGCCACGATCCTGGTGGACCCCGAGACGCCGTTGTACGTCTCCATCAATGCCAACCGCACCAATGATTTCTGTTTACAGGCCAAGCATGACGCTTTCGCCTACATCAATCACCTAACGCCTTTGCCTCAGCTCAACTACACCATCTGCGCCACCGACAACATGAAGAGTCTGCATTCCTCAATGGCGGAGAAGTCCTTGTGGGACGGTCTCAAACCGGACGAGCTGCACGCTGTTCACTCTCTATTGTCTGAACCAGTCTGGCAGATTTCGCCAATTAATGAGGCGGCCATTTACAATTATACGGAGGACGTAATCGCGTTGGGATTCCTGCGGCAAGGACACGTCCTACTGAGCGAGGAATGGCAACCCAGTCCGGGAGACTTTATATTGGACGAGGAGCGGTTTCCATCCATGGAGGAGACTATCAATATCATTCATCGCAGAGGATTTAGGATAGTCTTCAGCATCCAACCGTTCATCTCTACGGAGTCCGTGAATTTTAAGGACGCTGTCGCCAATAGATTACTGATCTCCGAGAGAGGAAGCGATCCTAGAATCCCGGCATTGACAAGGTTGATGCTTGTTCTTTGTCAATTGTTGTACAAGGTGTTGAAAAATGATTCCAAACTTTGCAGGCTTATAGTAGTGACTAAACTAAATTGAAAAATGATTAATCAACATAGATTCGCGAATAAATTCTTTCAGGATAAAGTGATTCTTTCAATGATTTTGTACAATGTGAAACTAGAGGATTATCACGATTTACACAGACTTATTTAACCATTTAATTAATTAATTAGTTACAGAATTATTATTATTTATTATTATTAATATTAATATTATTATTATTATTATTTTATTATAATAATTATTTATTACAATAATTTATTATAATTATTATTATAATATTATATTAATATTATTATTATTATTAATATGATTTGATCGTTTTAACTTATTATAAATTGGTATTTTATGTTCGGCAATTTGAATAGATACTTAGCATTCCTACTTCAAAAATCCGATAAGGAGATTGATAGGAATATAAATTTTATTGAATACATAACTAACATAACATCATATAACTTTATCTGAATACACACATGCCTTTCTATGTAATTTTATCATTTCTTCAGAAGTACAATTTAGTTTTTTATGTCATTCTATCAAATCTTTTAACCAGATATCTTTATATAGTATTTTGTATTTTTTAAAGATTCTTGGTCTTTAAATTTTGAGTCATACTTTACAAACATTCTTTAGCCATTGTCACTACTTTGCTAAATTTACTGGAAATGGATATATTAAAATTTTTAAATATTACAGTAAAAAATCTAGAAAGTCTAAGGCAGGAGATTGAGGGGACAAGGTGATTCATCCATTGCCTCGTCTTATCTTTTATTCATCATAAATTTATATAAAGTACCCCAGCTTGATTTCACAATCTATTGTGAGGACGTAAAACGGGTTGAAATGAATAAAAGAGTCCAACCAATTTTATGCTATACACCAATCTTCTTTAATTAATAACTAAAAATCTATATGGTTATTTGCAAACTGGTAGAGGACTTTTTGTTCAATTTGACTTAATATATAAACACATGACAGACGTTATCACTACAGATTATCTACTATATCAAGCGTCATCATTTACAAATCTTCTTTAATTAATATCTCGATAGTTATTGTGAATATCGCAAAACGGAACTTTTGTGTTCATCTCAATCTGCTTTACACACTCACAAGAGATTGTGAAATCTGAGACACCCTGTATATTGCCTGACAATAATTGTAAAACCATTCAAGAGCTCCATCATACTACGAGCATGATTTTTTGTTTACTACCAAAAGAACTTACTCTACAGTTCAAAACAATCCTTTACTCAGTTTTAAAGTCTGCAACGTTTTGAACCACCTCTCAATAGCATCCTGCATACGTTTATTGATATATTCACTTACACGTTATATTTAATTCCAGGTACAAGCAAAGCAATAGCGCCGGCGTGCTCGATATTACCAACAACAAGACCCTGCCGTGGCTGCAGGCGAAGCTGGAGAGCCTGATCATGAAGTACCACGTGGACTCATTCTACCTCGACCTGGGCACAGCTCAAGACATGCCTCACTACTACAAGTGCGAACAACCCCTGACCAACCCCGATCACTACAAAACGATCTTCACTCGCTCGATATTGGGCACGATTCCCGTGATCGGCGTTTCGAGTGCCATTTCCAGGCCGCGAGCTCCCGTCTTCGTGTCCTTGCCGCCGTTTCCCTCCTCGTGGAAAGCCATCAAGACCGTCATTCCCACCGTCCTGAGTTACGGCATGATCGGTTTCCCTTTTATTATGCCAGGAGCGGTGGGTGGCGACGTGGCGTTACCGATGTCGGACAACAATCCCGACAACGACTTCGAGGTGAACTTACCAGACAAAGAGCTCTACATTCGATGGTTGCAGCTGTCCACTTTCCTACCCGTGATTCGTTTCACCCATCTGCCGAGCAAGTACTCGGACGAATCGGTCCTGGAGATTGCCAAGCGATTAACTACTCTGAGACAGAAGACGGTGACGCCGTTACTGAAGAAGTACGCGAATGAGACCTTGGACACTGGTCTGCCCATTATCCGACCGCTCTGGATGCTGGACCCGGCCGACCCAGCCTGCCACGTGGTGGTCGACGAGTTCTCCGTGGGTGAGGAGTTGATCGTCGCACCGGTGCTTTACTCAGGCAGTCGGCAGAGGGAGGTTTACCTGCCGGCTGGTGTCTGGAGGGACGGTATCGACGGCAGCTTGAGGAAAGGTTCGAGATGGATTCACAATTACAGGGTGGCGGAAGACAAGGTGGCATACTTCGTCAAGATGCCGGACAACACGAGATTCTGAAGAGCAGCCCGTTTAAGTCGCTGAAGAGCAGCCAATAGTACTGAAATACGATTTGTGCGTCGTTACCGAGTCACGATCGCGCTTAAATCTTTATTGATATGCTCACTGATTTTTCTTATCGTAATCCGCACGATGAACACGTTTTTCGATGACTTTGAAAGTGCGGCGAAACGATTGTGCAGTGATAAATACTTCGTAGCGCTTAGAAATGACAAAGATATACTTTGCATATACATGTGCGATATATTCAATGTATTCGAATAGCGCGGGGATTATAACTGACGAAATACCGACAAGTTTAAATTACGAGAGAAATATTTAATACATTGCGGACGGATCACGAAAATTCCCTATTGTAAGATAATAATATTAGGTTGGTGCATAAAATTTGTTATTCCGCTATTAAATCCTTAAGTGGTACTCTCAGAAAAGTTTTGTAAAATATTAATTTTTTTTTTAATTTAAACTATTGTATTTTTTAACTCATAGCAAAGTATATACATTTTGTATTCTATTTTTCAAAATTCCTCAAAGAAAATAGCAATCGAGAAAAAACAAATTTAGATAAACTTATTAGAAGAAAAGTCTTCTCTGAGGGGGAGAATCGTACATTTTAAATCATTATTTAAGAAGAAATCTTAGTTCACAGATTATTGAAAAATATGAGGTTTTTACGATTTTTTTTTAAAGAAACAAATAAAAATGTCAATATAAAATTTTACATCATTTATCATTGTTTTAAATATAGAAAAACTATGGAAAAATTCCAGATTTTCTGTGCTGGGCGTCGGATGTCTCCAACTGATGAACGATATTACATTGTAATAATTTGAAACAAATATTGTGTGTATGTGTGTGGGACAAGAAAATTTAAAACTTGTATTTACTAAAGGATGAATTTAAATTTTTTGCAAATTTCCAAAAAATTAGTGGGGACAAACACTAACAATTTATGTTTTTATTTAGTTAATATTACGCTATCACATCTGCGTGTTGGTTCTTAACAAACCCTTACTCCTCCTTACTTGACAAAAAATTATCCATCTGTTTTTCCCAAAACACTGAATAAAAAAAGGGGGAAAAATAACTCGTAACATTGCGAAAAATCACTATATTGTTAAACTTCAATTTTCTTCATACAACAAAGGTTAATCATCCAGCAAATTTAATACAGTTTTAAATTTTTTGTCTCATTTGATTCAGATTATTACTCGAGTTGTAATGTTGTCCATCAGTTAAAGATGTCCGATGGCTTCGCGCTCAACACAAGAAACCTAAACGACGAAACTTCAATTAGTTTTTACATAAAAAAATAATTTTCTTATACTTAAGACAATGGTAATTAGAAAATAGTCAAATCCCTATATTGATATCTTTATTTTTTTCTTTGAAAAAAAATTCGTAAAACCTATTTTTTCGGGTCCTCTCACATCCTCCTCACGAAGAATTTAGACATTAAAAAGTTGGCCAACTAATATATGCTATTTGAACCCACACAGCAAAAATATTCAAAATGCATTATAGAGATATCCTAAAGATATCGCGACATTGAGAGAAATTATTCGATAAGAAATTAACAAACGAATATTTCTAATCAAAATGCCGATGAATTTGTGTATCTGATCAGGAAACATCCGATGAGAAATATCGATTCATAACTTTTTGATGGGTTTACCTGTGTGATGAAATGCCATTATAGTTGGAAGTATTCGATTAAATTTAATCGGATATCCTGATCAGGTATAAAAATTCATTGGTACTTTGATCGGAAATATCCGTTTGTTAATTTTTTATCGGATAATTTATCTCAGTGTAAGATATTTCTACGATATATATTCTGATGTATGGGAAGGTTATTCGATATTGAATGTTGCTCGTTTTATTCGTAAAAGATTTCTTGCACCAACCTAATACCTGCCGTTGAGCAAGGCTAGCAACGAAATGATTTGTTTACAATATATCAACATCGTTATGTTTCGTGTGTAAAATACGATCAATCGCGTGAGATCAGTGCGTCTCGAGAATACACGCGCTGACACATATTGAAGAGAAAGCAAATGTGTAGGTCTACCTTAAGTCAACAATGATATCTTACTTTTACCCAACGATGCTGCTTCACCGTATACCAATTTGTCACAATAATTTATTAGCCAAACACACTGAGATTTAGCGAGGTGGATTGAAAATAAAAGATGTAAATGTATAATGTCCGCACGAGGAATGCACCTGACACATGATCTTGTAGGGCGCACGGTCTATTTATTTTCATTACAAACTTACATGACATGTGTAAAATAATAAAATGCGTAAGCATGCAAGAAGCGGAAATCGAAGCCGGTGCAGTCGTCTCGGCGCACTTGATTTTCGCAAGGGACACGAAATAAGGAAATGTACACACCGCGATTACGAATGCAAGCAATTTTCGCGCCGTCACTTCATTCAAAGCCAGAACCAACGACGACCGGTCCCGATCCTTGCGCAAAACATCCCGAACGAAAGGCCGATGACATCCACGGTCGATCGACGAGGAGAAAATCAAGACGCGTGAGGCACACAGACGAGAGTTCTCTAAGGTATAGTGTATATTTATTATATTACCATTTTTATCATATAGCATAACATTGTTATTTCTATAATAATAATAATCATAGCACCATGAACACTCCACAGTAAGTTTTTTTTTTAATTCGTTATTCGAAAAAACGCGACGCGCCGATGCGCTGCGACGGGTGAGAACCGCGATCATGTTAATCGTAAGGGAACCCGAGCACCACCGGGATCTCCGAGCACGTTCGAGAAACGTCCAGGAGCAGGTCCCGAGGCTTCGTCGTGCGTCTCGTGGACGTTCCTCCGAGGTCCTCGGCGATGCCCGTGTTGACCGGCTACGCGCAGTCTCGCCGTTACTTTTTTGTTTGCGCAACAACGAAACTCCCAATCGGATGTGACTAGATGACTCTGTTTTTTCGTTTTCTTTCGCATTTTTTTTTTCTTCTTTACACTAAGAAACGATTCGTTCTTGCTTTTTTCTCTTGTTTTTTCCGCTGACTAGAGCCTCGCGAGTGTCCGAGAAGATTTCGCGACGGAGGAAAAACGCTCTTTTGATTTTGCTGATTCGGGCGATCCGGCGGCTCGCGCGGAACGAGGGGAGTGAGCAAATTGGAAGCGGTAGCAAAAAATTCGCCGCACTTCGCTTTCCTCTGTTGTCCGGTTACGATCGATATAATTCGCGTGATTACTATAGTATCTTGATTGTTCTCTTGGTCGGAGAAATCTCATCAATATCACCGTTCTCACACCCGTCAAGCACCGCGATTTGGGGGTTCGTACAGGTGTTGAGGCTCACGTTTTTCACATTTCTCTCTCTCTCTCTCTCATCCTCTCTCGCTCTTTATATCTTTTTCTCTATATATCTCTCTCATGCGCTCTGTTACTCCATTTCTTACGCGTATTTCGTTCATATATTATATAGATATTTATATATATATATATAATATATATATATATATATACTTTTTTCTTCTCCCTTCATAGTTCCCACTAATCTGTTTCGGTGAAAGCTCGTTCCTAATCTTTTATTTGTTTTTTTTTTTGTCATTTTTATACCTTTTATTTAAATTACTTCCATAAATTCATCGTTTATTTAGTCTATCCTGCGCGCATCATCATCGATCGACAATAGCTTCATTTAATAGTTTATTAATTTATTTTGTTTTTCGTTAAATTGAATTTCATAATTTTAACATCCTACCTAGATAACTGGTCATTATATTACTTGTCAATAAATAATACATAAATACATAGGTACATACTTCATCATCACCTTCTCTCTTTCTCTCTCTTCTTTTTTCTCTTTCTCTTTTCCTTTTTCTCTCTCCATTTTCTCTCTTGCTCTCCAGTGTTTTCTATTTCTGACTTTCTATCTCAATATGCGTTGCACAACTCGCTATCATACGTATCAAGAGATATCGATAAACGTTATAAAAACTTCTTTATTCGTACGATAGAAAGAGAACGATGATGATGATAATGACCCGCTCTCGCGAACGTAATCGTAATATGTAATAATATTAATAGTAATCGCAATAATAATAATATATCGTAGCAATAACAAGCACAATAGTCGTTAAAAATAATCGGAATAGTAATAATCGTATTTATAACAATATCGATCGTTCACGTCTCTCTCTTTCTCGATGTCGCTTAAGTCTCCGCTCATGCTTTCTCCTATATTAGTTAATTCTTTTTTCGCACACTCCTCCTCCTCCTTCTCCTTCTTCTCCTCTTCTCTTTCGCCCTTCGTCAGCGAAGTAAGATTTTGATCGCGCATATGACTCCGCCAAATTAAAAAGAAAAGAATACGAAAGAAAAACGCAATCAGTCTCTCTGGCGAGAATTCCTCCACTAACCGATTTTTGATCGAATGACTTTCTGTAATGTGTAATATACGTCACGCCTGAGGTGAATATATAACGCAATGAAGAATGAGCAATAAATAATTGGACAAATGACGAATGAAAATACGTGCGCATGGGATGCGATGCGTGTGCATGTGCCACTCAAACTCTCCCTCTCTCTCTCTCTCTCTTTCTCTCTCTATACATGTTTCGTGTATTAATTGTGATCTACGCACGCGCGTGGGGAGGACAAATCAATTCCGCGATCGGACGAACAAAATCGTGTATGACTTACGGGCTGTAAAAAACTTACGCACTAATCTATAAAAAAACCTGACCTTGAAGGCCATTAATCGCGTGTCGATTGCAGCGATCAGACAAATCGCTTCCTTATCTCTTTCTCTCTCTCTCTCTCTCTCTCTCTCTCTCTCTCTCTCTTTCTCTTCAACTTTCTTCCTTCTGATCGCTCTCGCGATCACCGCTTGGATATCACCGTACCACCTGGGTATCATTAAGGATCGGTCTAATCGAGCACCATTTTCGTGTAGGCACGAATGTGTCTCGTATAGAGGAGAGCTTTCTCCGGTATTCACTCGACGAGAGATCCACTTAAGACCGCGGGACAACGCGACGTGCGGCATATGTGATTTTGTCCTCTTCCCTTTTACATTCCGGGCAACGTTTGCGTAGAAGGTACTTTTGAGTTCCATATATCGAAAGAGTCTTCGCTACGGCTCAAGGGGATGGAAATCGATGACGCGTCGCATGACGAGACATCGTCTCCATCCCCGTGGATCTCGCGAGAATGACGAGAGAGCAAAGGTGTCCTCTATAAGTCACAGTTTCGGTATCGCGCTTAATCGCACTTGTTTCTCGTTTTATCATTCGTTATTGATTTCTCCTTCCGTCTACGTGTTCTCTCGCGGTTCTAGGTGATGATCGATCCTTCGCCGCACGCCCGATACCGCCCCAAATCGCAGCCCCGATGACTCCAAACGCACGTCGACTATCCCGAACTCGCGGCCTCAATTTGAGCTCGACGTGCGACGTTGAGTGCGGTCTAAAACTGGACGCGCAGGATCGCCACTAAGATGGGCTCCTTAAGGTACAACTACACGAACATTTAGAATCGATACTTGGTACAACCTTGTCTCTCTCCTTCGCGGTAGAGAAGTAACGGGGAACGGGATATCTAGACAGCACAAACGCCCAACAGTCGCGAGGACGTCGTGAGAAGTGGCCGAAATCACGTAAACGTGACCTTCCAGGCATAAACATAAGCGTGAGTCTTCCAGCCAGTCCTTCTCAGATGCCTTCGGAATACATTCAGACTCTTGTGCTGCTTAGGCAGGATTGAACGCACGTTGTCATCGACGACATCTTCACGAAGACTCGCTCGCGCGGTCCCTTCGTGTCCCTCAAGGGGTAAACGCTCCCGTGGTGAGGTGAGAGATGAATGGGGGAGGCCTGTTGTCGGTTCGCGAAAATGATGATGACGTGACGGTCTGGCGAATAAGCGCAATGTTTAATACGTTCTCGACTCATCGGTATTCCATTGTTATCGTCGTCATCGTACTCATCGCCATCAGCATCAACATCAATACCACCACCACTACCACCATCATCATCATCATCATCGTCTCCTCGTCAATGCTTCATCGCACTCTATGACCTTACGATAAAACGCTATAGCTCTGAGAGAAAGTTAAGTACAAAAGGTGTCGTCGACTTGGATCGATCTTCTCTCCCCGGACGGGACCCGCGCGACGCCACGCGGATTTCCACGTCGCCAGCGACGACGAATCGCGTAGTCTTGTTGGGACTTTGGATATCTACTTGAAGGACAGCGATTCTCCTCTCCGAGATGGGCGAGCTCGCGTAGGTACCTCATAGAACAGCGACCGGGCGGAACAACTTCCGACTTGACGGTGACATGGCTTGCTCTTCTCCGTCTCTGTGGCGAAAAATCTGCTCGAGTCCGTCTACAGGTCCACATTTTGACCCAGCAATCCTGCCTCATTCTCTGTTAGTTGCGCTTCCTTCCTTTGGAGAACGAATTTCGCAATTTTGCGATTTTGCCTGGACAAGTCGTTCTTCATTCGCCCTTCAGGCGCTGCTCGAGGAAGCTCCTTCGCTCGTCAGCGGGCCAGTCGTGAACTGATTGGTGCGATATTGCAGTGACTAGGTCACTGATTATCTGCTTTTGATCAATGTGAACAAAAGGACTCTCTCTGTCTCGCACAAAGACTTCCATCATGTTTGATTTTCATCATAAAATCTTTCCTTGGAAGGCGATTGGTAGCATTATTCCCTAAAGACTCCTTGTCCGCCTACCAGGCTCACGAGTACTGTTCTCTGAAGTCCCGTTCTCGTCGCTCGATCTCAGCAAGCAGAGGTCCTCGCGCCAAAGAAACAATTGAAGACGGATTGTGGGTCCTGTGAATGGACGTTTTTCGAGATGTCATCACACCTCCTTTACAGCGACGAATAACGTTCTCTTCCGATCTCTTCATAATTGAAGCCACCATTGTCGGATCGTTCGGCTAACTCGACCGTCTCGTTCACGTAGATCTCGAGATGATTGTGTATTATCATCCCTCTCCCTCAATCGCGCGCGATTGACGAAGCGACGAGATCCATCTCTCGCACTGGTTCTCTCTCTCTCTCTCTTTTTTCATAACCATCGCACTTTCCTCGTAATCTCTATTATCTCTACGATATAGAAACACGACACAGATAATTCTTATCTAGAACTTCCCGATGGAATTTAGCCATTTTACCTACGCACGAATAGACATTTACGACGAGAAAGGGGGACCGTTAATCACGTAACAACGAAGGAAAATATTCGGAGGTGTGGATCGTTTTCTCTTCTCGAGCATACCCCGAGAAAAATGATTATATATAATCATATATGAACTTTTTTTCTATATATATATATCCACACGGAATAAATACAATTAAAATAACCGCTCATATGTTTGTGGTTGCCGGTAATGTAGACGTTTAATTGAATAAATTTTTTTTTCTTTCTTTCATTCAATAGTATTTTTTTCCGCATAGACATATATGATTATATATGTGATCATACAAAGATAAAACTCATATATGAAATCATATGTAGTGTACGTATGATTTTATAGAATCCTTTCTGCTCGGGTCGCATGCGAACGTCCTGTTCTAAGCGATCCATCACGGAGGGTCGATGGATCCCTCCGTCCCGAAATGTGCGTCCATTGAATTCAGAGATGCGAATCGTCTCTTTTTTCTCTCTCTCTTTTCTCTCTTTCGAGGTAACCTGGTCTGCTCTTACTCTCTTTTGCTGTGGTTCAATTTTTTTCTTTAACTTATACACTGAATACTACGCGGTGCTGTTGAAGCGGCAGCTGTGTCGAGATATTAAAAGTTTTACTTTAATCTGCTGATGTTGAGGAGAGGGTGGGGCGAGGTCTCGCATCAAGAGATCGACACTATATTTATGATCGTACGACCCTCCGGTCCGGGGTCGCGGGTCGGGGAATTAGAATATCCTAAAGTCAATTGATTCGGTAACTAACGTATAGATTGTCCCAGGCCGCGGCACTTGCGGATCGTCGATTCGATCAGCCGATCGTAGCTACGCTCAAACATCGCAAACGGTCTCGATCGTCCTCAACTTTGAGCAGTGATTGATTAAACGTATTGCAGGCGATATCAGCGCGCTATGGGCTTCAAACGGTGCAAAGTGTAGAAATACAAATAACTCCCGTCGGATCAAGGACGCCTGACAGACGCTGGTTGTTGCTCAACGCAGTGCGAGCCTCGATCGTACGTGGAATTCTTCCTATCGATTAATCGCTTAGAAGTACGTAAATTTATACCTTGTATCCGTGCAAGGAACAACTTCTACGATCTCTTTCTTCTCTCTTTCTCTCTCCTTCTCTCTAATCGTCCGCACCGTCTCCTCGTGAGAAAGGATACGAAGAACGTCTTAACTTATTAGAAGATAGTCACCGTGTTTGACTTGCGCGGAAAAATCGGTCTTCCTTCTTTGGGACAACCTCTACATTGTTCGATACAATTTCTACGATCTTGTTTGGAGTAGGCCGCGAAGCTACGACCGCGAGGGAATCTCGAATTCGAAATGCCGTTTAGTTTTCGGGTCTCCTGGAGGGGTCAGGGGTCGCCTGACGGGACGGTAGGTCGATTTATAGCTCAACCTTTTCGATTTTTTTTCTTTCTGTTGTTACTGTTTTCCTGTTCGTGCTCTTTTCTGTCTTTTAGCAGGAATGGGTCCAAAAACGGAATGATGACGCGTTCCGGACGCCGCTCAGAACTCGACTATTACGGCTGAGCAGGCTGCCAATCCCTAGAACTCGAGCCTATAGGCACTGCAACTAGTCTCGTGATCCTGAAGATTGATGGTGCACCGGGACGCAGAGGGCGATAAGTCTATATGGTTCGCGGCGAGTGCCTCCTCGTTATCGGCGACCCAATAACCCAGGGTATCGGTGTCATACGTTGGGATCATGGTTACTTCTGTTGAATAAAGCATACATGTATCTGAATAGGAACACATGAATGAATTAAAAAGAAAAATCGACACAACCAGTCAATAGGTAATCTAAGTTTTTCTGTGTGTCCCCGGTCTTACTCAGAACGATGATCTTTACAATATGTGCGAAAGACACGGTCATTAGAGATGTTTCCCTTAAATAGGCATTTTATCGTGATTTTTTTTAGTTCCTAATTTTAACTAGTCATGTTAATCACTTCTAGGATTGACTAAAAAACTCAGTCAAAAGCCAGTCAAAAGCCGGAACACAAAATCATTTCGGGCTTTGACCTAAACGCTTGGTTATTCCGCACGTTGACCAGTCAATCTTAGAAGCACCTGTGCTACAGGCTTTGACTATAACATATATATAGAGAAAAACATTTTTAAATTTTCTTAAAATTTAAAAATTACTTTATTAAAATAGACGATAGGTGATAGAAGAAATATATTTATATTTTGTAATTTCAGCGTAAAAAAATACTAGATATCTATATAGATTACACAATTAGACTGGTATAATTAATTCTAATAACATTGATTCCTGATTAATTATATTTTGAAAATAATGGAATGCTAATCGACTAATTTTTAATTTTGCGACAAGTTAATACCTAAAAAATTATTTTTAATATTTAACAATGCTTACTTAAATTTTCTATTATTATTAGACAAACTTTCTATTAAGAAAGAAAAAAAGAAAGTTGTACTATTTTTAAATAAAAATTGCATTAATTGAAACTGATAAATCTTCTAACCTGCTACGATTTAAAATTGGATTAGACGAACTTTTATCTTTCAATAGCATGGTTAAACAAAGTTCAACGAACTTCTGTTTTTATTTACTAAAAAAAATAAAATTCTTTTTGAGTCGATGATAAATTAATAATAATAATAATCACATCAACAAAGGACGAAATGTCTAAGCTCGATAATTAATAAAATTCTCGTATTATTAATAAAATTATTAAACATACCAAGATCTTTATCCTCCCAAGTCTTTTTAGCTTCCAACAAAGCGTCGTAGACTTCTCGGCTAGGTTCAGTGCCACTGAAGACATAGTATCTCGCCCGCACTCTCTTGAAGAATTCCAACGAAGAGTAGTACGAATTTCCATGATGCGGAACATATGCCAAGTCCATGTAAACCGGCTGAATCTTGTTCTTCGAATCCTTCATTTTCTTTTCATTTTTTCCGGGGCTCTCCGAGCGTTTCTTATTCTTCATATTCTCCGACTGTACCTTTTTCGCCTGCTTCCGTTCTTTCTTTGGCGTGCCTGGCGTTCCCTTATTCAATACCTCGTTAGTTACCGGTGCCGGAGATGGTAGTCTGAGAGGTTCCCCCCAATCTTTCACCACGTCGAAGTTCAAAGTGCCGGAAGTCGATGCGTTCGAGCACGACGGTTGAGAGGGATTCTTCAGGTTGAATTTCCTGGGTGGTTTGGGAGACGGCAATCCCAGCGGAGATCCCCAACCTGTCAAGGGATCTTTCTTCGAGTCTCCTTTGGAATCGTCTTTCGCGTCATCCTGGAAGGAAGACGATGGATGTTCTCTTGCATCCTCCGTCTCATGCCGAAGACTACCGTTCGTATATCTAGGTGCTATGCCGCTGCCAAAGGCGCTGCCGGTCTCCTTCATCTCCTTGTGCTCCATCAGAGCCTTGTCGAAGTCCAAGTCAGCCTCGTCGACATACCTCTTCGCCTCCGGTTTCTCCGCATAGCCACCGGCGAACTCCTTCTCGACCATAAATCGGCTACGAACGGGACCAGTCTCGCTTCTCTGCATGCCGGTCTCCCCATGGAAGGTCTTCATGGCAGAGATTTGCGGCGGCACTGCCGGCAATTCCCCATAGAAGCTGCTGCTCATCGCGGCTGCCGAAAACTCGACTGTCTTCTGTTCCTCTTCCTTGTCCGAGACCGGATCATGGCGATGCGTCGTCTGCGGAGAATAGCCGACTTGCGAGGTCGAGGATAAAGACGACGAAGGCGGCTCGTCGTCGGAGTAAGTATGCCTCTCTTCGCTGCTGCCCCACACATGGGTCATGGCTTTGCTGCGTACGCTACTGTCACTCGGCGGACTGATAGGTCCTCGGTCTTTCTCACTGGACGTCTCGTCGGAACCTGGACTGTCGCTATGTTGCAGCTCAGTGGACTTAATACTGCCGATAATGCTACTGATCGCGCTCTCCGCGGCATCCTTGCTGGGTAGACGCTCGTCCACTTTCACGTCGGTCTTCTCTGCCAACACGACTGTTTCGCCCTTCTCGTTGGTCGTCTCCGTGACTTCGCGAGTAGTCGTGACAATCTCACCTTCGTCGGATATTGTCTTCGTAGTGGTAATGATAGTCCGTATCATTTCGCCCGACTTGAAGCCCTCCGGAGTGGCCGTCGATGAGCGACCCTCGGATCTTCTGTCGGGAGTCGATCGCCCAGAAAGATGTGGTTGCACTGCGGCGCCGTCTCTTATTAACGGCGACATGGGGATCTCTGGAGTGGACTTGCCGGTCGAGCCGCTGAAGATAATATCCTTGGGCAATGATATGTCGGGTGAGGATTTGCCCGAATAACTCTTGTCGTCGGATATCAAGTCTTTTACCAAGGGCGACACCGAGTGCTCGAGTTTCTCCGCGCCCAAGCGCGTTTCTTTGCCAACAGTTCCCTCGGGCTTATCCTCCTGCTTGGAGTCGGGCGTCGATTTGCCGGAATCATAGAACGCCTTCACGTCAGGTGTGGAAGTGCCCGATGTCACGGTTGCGATAGTCTCCTTCACGATCTTCTCCGCGGACTTAGCCTCCGTCGCGAGCTTGCTGGCTTTGTCACCCGAGGTCGAGTCGATCAGCTTCTCCAACAGCTCTTCGCTGTCCACGGTGTCGCTACTCTCTTTCACGTCCTTCTTCGTGGTAACCTTGCCATCCGGGCCAGTTATGGTGGTCACTGTTGTCACAATCCGCTTCACATCGGCGCTAGATGTTGCAGCGTCCGCTGTGCTCTCGTCACTCACTACTTTGTAACTTGTACCTGAAGCGGAGTCGGTGTAAATCTTTGACGGGTCGACCTGCGACAGTTCAGTATCTGAGAGCTCTTGTGTGACGATGGTCCTCGTTGTCTTCGTAGTAATGGTCTTTACAAATTCGCCGGAATCCTCTTGAAAGTCGCTCGTCTCTTCATCGGGGACTATCACCTCGCGCTTGATCACCTTCGTGATGACCTCAGGCTCATCTTGTTCGATGATTTCACGTTTGACTACCTTAGTAACCACTTCCGGCTCACCGTGCTCTACAATCTCGCGTTTGATGATCTTGGTGATCGCTTCGGGTTCATCTTGCCCCATACTTGGACGTTTTATTTCTTTAATAACTGCCACTTCGGGTTCTTCTTGGTCGATCACCTCGCGCTTCACTATTTTTTTCACTACGATGACGTCGCCGTCGTGGTCGGCCGCATCACTCGATTCTGGTGTGTCTACGGTATGCGTCATCACTTTAGTCACCTCTTCAGGTTCTTGTTCTTCAACTACTTCGCGCTTTATTATTTTCTTGACTATGGTGACATCACCGTCAGTTTCGGCGTCACTAGATGCGTCGGTTTCTTTTGTCGTCACTTTAGTCACTTCTTCAGGTTCTTGTTCTTCAACTACTTCGCGCTTTATTATTTTTTTGACTATGATGACATCACCGTCAGTTTCGGCGTCACTAGATGCGTCGGTTTCTTTTGTCGTCACTTTAGTCACCTCTTCAGGTTCTTGTTCTTCAACTACTTCGCGCTTTATTATTTTCTTGACTATGATGACATCACCGTCAGTTTCAGCGTCAACAGATGCGTCGGTTTCTTTTGTCGTCACTTTAGTCACCTCTTCAGGTTCTTGCTCTTCAACTACTTCGCGTTTTATTATTTTCTTGACTACGATGACATCACCGTCAGTTTCGGCGTCACTAGATGCGTCGGTTTCTTTTGTCGTCACTTTAGTCACCTCTTCAGGTTCTTGCTCTTCAACTACTTCGCGTTTTATTATTTTCTTGACTACGATGACATCACCGTCAGTTTCGGCGTCACTAGATGCGTCGGTTTCTTTTGTCGTCACTTTAGTCACCTCTTCAGGTTCTTGCTCTTCAACTACTTCGCGTTTTATTATTTTCTTGACTACGATGACATCACCGTCAGTTTCGGCGTCACTAGATGCGTCGGTTTCTTTTGTCGTCACTTTAGTCACCTCTTCAGGTTCTTGCTCTTCAACTACTTCGCGTTTTATTATTTTCTTGACTACGATGACATCACCGTCAGTTTCGGCGTCACTAGATGCGTCGGTTTCTTTTGTCGTCACTTTAGTCACCTCTTCAGGTTCTTGCTCTTCAACTACTTCGCGTTTTATTATTTTCTTGACTACGATGACATCACCGTCAGTTTCGGCGTCACTAGATGCGTCGGTTTCTTTTGTCGTCACTTTAGTCACCTCTTCAGGTTCTTGCTCTTCAACTACTTCGCGTTTTATTATTTTCTTGACTACGATGACATCACCGTCAGTTTCGGCGTCACTGGATGCGTCAGTTTCTTTCGTTGCTCCCTTGCTACCAGTTGCAGGCTTTTCTTCTCCTTCAATTATCTCACGTTTTATTATCTTCTTCACCAAGATCGTATCGTCGTCGATCGATTTTGATTTGTCATGTTCAATAATCTCGCGTCCACTCAACTTTGTGATAGTTTCCGTCTCACCCTGAATCACTTCTCCCTTGACTATCTTTTGAATCTCGCCGATTCTTTCGAACGGCACGTCTTTCGTGATCTTCGTCTCTTCAGGTTCTTTACCACTGATTTCTTGTTTCTCCGTCTTTGTGACTTTCACGTCCTCCTCTGAACTCTCCACGGACAAGCTGGCGTGTGATGATAAGCTTAAGGCTCGCATTGCTTGCTCAGACTTCCCATCCTCTTCGTCTTTTGGCATGCTGGCCATTCGCGGTCGCTTACCGGATGCCTTGTCGCCGGGCTCAATGCCGGACTCGGGAGTCGCGTCGTGCGTGGCATACTCCGGGGTCGACTTTCCGGACAGCGTGGTTATATGCGTCGTTCTCATTTCCGTCATCCCGCCGACAAAAGCTTTATGGAACTGACTCTCGTAGCCCATCAAATAACCAGACTTGTCCAACTGTTGTTCATCTGAATCTGTATACATGTCCATTCCGTATTTTTCCGGCGGTTTTCTGGTGCCATCATCCGGAAGCTCGTAATCGGTATCCGTTGGTCGGTCGTAGTGATACATTCCCTTTTCATAATTTACCTCCGGTTCATCCTCTTGATAAATTTCCGAATCGATTACAGACTCCCGCGGATACTTCCTCTTCAGTATGATCTCCTCCACTATTTCCAGGATAATGTAACGTGGTAAAGAGGTCTTAATGATTATCTCCTCGAGCGTCACTTCTGTGATTTTCTTGCCTTTCTTTATATACTCCTCCTCTAGTAGCTTCTCTGTTTCCATTCGCTTCTCTTCGGATATCGAGATCTCTTCATCAATGTGTGGCTCTGATCGAGCCGGACTGTCTTGGGTCGACTTGTCAGAAGGAATTGGTTCCGGGCTGAGGCTAGGGCTAGCGGAGGATACTTTAGCGTCTCTGTCGTAATGATCGCTGTCGAAAAGAGATCCCTTACCGTCTAGACTCTCATCTTTTACAGGGATATTGAGCGAGTTTAAGTCACCTTCGATTACGGTATCTCTGGAAATTTGTCTTCTTATTATCATCTCTTCGATAATCTCAATTATTATTTTTATAGGCACTATTTTGAGGAGAGATATTTCTTCCACCACCTCTGCCGTGACCTTCTTCTTTTTTGCGATGAACTCTTCGGTGATGTAATTTTCTATCTCTGTTCGTCTCTGTGGTTGGACCGGTTCCTCTTCGTCAACAAAGTCGAAGACCGAACTTCTTGACATCTTTTGTTGACTGATAATGTCCTCAATGATCTCCATCACTATAAACTGGGGTACCGAGTATGTCATTACCAACTTCTCGATCACCACCAAACTGATTTTCCTCTTGCGAATTATGAACTCTTCCAAAATATACTTCTCAATTTCAGCTTTCTTCTCTGCTGTTACTCGAATAACGATCTCTTCTTCTTCGTCCGGCTTTTCGATTTTCATCGGCTCGACAGACTCCGGCTCCTCGAAATCAGTGAATCGTTTCTCGCGGATTTTTTTCAGTTCTTCTTGGATCGCCTCCGGGGAAGTGATAGGACTCTTTGCTTTCGGCGAGCTCTTGTGTTCGTCTTTCTCGTCTGACGGTTTCTCCGTGCTGGCAAGTTTAGATGCATCCTGTTTCGGAAGAGGTATCTTTTCTGCCTGTTTATCCTCAAATAGACTAGCTGTTCGAGATCTGCTGGCCGGTGTCTTCTCCCCGATATCGAAGACACTCTGCGAACGTGACCGGTCTTTCGGAGTTTTGTCTACCGGCGAACTGGCTCCCGATGATTTGGCGGACTCGTCCTTCGAGACTTGTCCAACTTCTAGGCTCGGTGAAATCGGTAGTTCTCGCGAAGAGACCTTCGCTTCCGCAACCTTGGTGTCGGGATCATCGCTGGCAATGCTGGATGATCTGGACTTGTCTTTCTGGTCAGGTTTCTCGTCGGCCAGACTCGGCGACTTCGAGACATCCGACGGTGACTTTGGTTCTGTTCTATCACTGATGATACTTAACGATCTCGTTTTATCTACTAAACCTAGCTCGCTCGTTATATCGGACTTTGACAACTCGTCGATATCGATTTTATCGACTTCGTCGGTAATCAATGGTTTATCAAGGATAATACTAGGAGATCGCGGCTTATCATGTACTTGGGGCGTGTCATCAGCCAACTTTACGTCCAATTTCCCGGGAATAGTCGCCGACTTCTCCTCCGCGTCTTTCTTCTCCGATATCTTCACGTCAATGAGGCTGGGAGACTTGTCGATCGCGTCTTCGTAGTGTTCCCTGCTGCCGAGTTTGTCATCTGACGTCTTCTCGTCAGACTTGTCGCTGGCAGTGCTGGGGGATTTGCTAAGATCAACAGGTGGCTCCAATTTTTCAGAGACGGTGAGCGATACTGGCTTCTCGATTATTTCCGCTTTGTCGGCTGTCAGACTCGCGACGCTGGGCGATCTGGACTTATCGGCCGGCGGTTCCGTAACGTCTTTCAGATCCGGTTTTTCTTCCGTAACACTTGTCGCCTTTGAGCCTTCGGCGGACTTCTTTCCGTCGGATTTCTCGCTCGCTACACTCGGAGATTTACTCCTGTCATGCGGCTCCTCTGTTTTGTGAAGCGTCGTAGGCGACACCGGCTCCTTTTGCTCGCTCGTCATGCTTGTCACGCTTGGTGACTTGGACTTATCCAACGCCGGCTCTAACACGTCCTTCAGGTCACCTATGTCTCCAACTACACTCGACGGTTTTGAGGTAATCGCTGATTTCGCGCCTTCAGACTTCTCGCTAGCTACACTTGGCGACTTGCTTCTGTCGAGTTCATCTTTCTTATCCGTAACAGGAGACTTCGCCTTCTCCGACGGTTCTTTCTGGTCGGACGTGACACTCGCGACACTCGGTGACTTGGACTTGTCCAACGCTGGTTCTAAAAGACCCTTCAAGTCATCTATGTCCCCAGCTACACTAGATGGCTTTGAAGTGACCGCTGATTTTGCACCTTCAGACTTCTCGCTAGCCACACTTGGCGACTTGCTTCTGTCGGACTCATCTTTCTTATCCGTAACCGCTGATTTCGCACTTTCGGACTTCTCGCTGGCCGTACTCGGAGATTTACTTCTGTCGTGCGGCTCCTCTGCTTTATGAAGCGTTGTAGGCGACAGCGGCTTGTCAATCGGTTCCTTTTGCTCACTCGTCACGCTTATCACGCTGGGCGACTTAGACTTATCCAACGCCGGCTCTAACACGTCTTTTAAGTCACCCATGTCCCCAGCCACACTCGACGGCTTCGAGGTAACCGCTGATTTTGCGCCTTCAGACTTCTCGCTAGCTACACTTGGCGACATGCTTCTATCGGGCTCATCTTTTTTATCCGTAGATACCGGAGATTTCGCCTTCTCCAGCGGTTCCTTCTGATCGGATGTGATACTCGCGACACTCGGTGACTTAGACTTGTCCAATGGCTGTTCTGTGACGTCCGCCAACTCAGCCTTGTCTCCGGCGATACTGGACGACTTCGAATCGCCAACTGACTTCTTGTCGTCGGATTTCTCGCTCGCTACGCTTGGTGATTTACTCCTGTCTATCGACTCGTGCTTGGTGTCGGTGTCAGGAGTCTTCTGCTCTTCCGTTAACTTTTCCTGATCTCCGGTGACGCTCAAAGTGCTCGGTGATTTTTCGATTTGCTGCTCTGAGCTGACGTCTTTCAAATCCGGCTTCTCCCCGGCGATACTCGGCGACTTGGAACGGTCGAGCGGTTCTTTTTGCTCGCTAGTGACGCTGATGACACTAGGAGATCTTGATTTATCTACTTTTGTGTCCGTGACGTCTTTCACATCGGGCTTCTCCCCGGCAATAATCGGTGATTTGGAACGGTCGAGCGGCTCTTTCTGCTCGCTAGTGTCGCTGATGACACTAGGAGATCTCGATTTATCCATTTCTGCGTCTGTGACGTCTTTCACATCGGGCCTCTCCCCGGCAATACTTGGTGATTTGGAACGGTCGAGCGGCTCTTTCTGCTCGCTTGTGACGCTGATAACACTAGGAGATCTTGATTTGTCCATTTCCGCGTCCGTAATATCTTTCACATCGGGCTTTTCCCCGGCGATACTAGGCGACTTGGAACGGTCGAACGGCTCTTTCTGCTCGCTTGTAACGCTGATGACACTAGGAGATCTTGATTTATCCACTTTTGTGTCCACGACGTCTTTCACATCGGGCTTCTCTCCAGCGAGACTCGGTGACTTGGAACGACCGAGTGGTTCCTTTAGTTCCTCCGTGATGCTAACAACACTTGGAGACCTGGATTTATCCAAAGACGGCTCCAAAACATCCTTCATATCGAGCTTGTCTCCAGCGATGCTGGGCGATTTTGAGTGTTCGACAGATTTCTGATCGGCTGTGAAGCTCACGGGACTAGGTGACTTCGACTTCTCAGGAAGTGTTCCGGTTGTGTCTTTCTCGTCCGATTTTTCATCTATCAGGCTGGGCGGTTTCGAGAGATCCATCGGTTCCTTCTGCTCGCTAGTAGCACTGATGACACTAGGCGATCTGGACTTGTCCGTTAGTGTTTCTATGTCCTTCTCGCCCGGTTTCGCCACACTCGGCGATTTTGCTGGCTCTTTTTGATCCCCGCTTACGCTTACGATACTAGGCGACCTAGATTTCTCCAAAAGCTCGGCGACGTCTTTCAAGTCTGGCTTCTCCTCAGCGACGCTCGGGGACTTGGAAAGGTCGGTTGGCTCTTTCTGTTCTCCGGTGACGCTGATAATACTTGGAGATCTGGATTTTTCTACTGTCGACTCGACGACGTCTTTCATATCCGGCTTCTCGCCGACGGTGCTTGGCGATTTGGAACGGTCCCCGGGTTCCTTTTGGTCGGCGCTGACGCTCACCACACTGGGTGACCTCGACTTGTCCAGTGGTTGCTCTGCGATGTCCTTAATGTCTACCTTCTCTCCCGCGACGCTCGGCGACTTCGAACGATCCTCTTTCTTGTCACTCGAGACGCTTGGGGACCTCGACTTCTCCATGGCTTCTTGTGCGAGACCCTCCGGCTTCTCTCCGACAGGACTGGGTGATTTTCTCACTTCCTCTGCCGAATGTTGTTCTTCGATAGTAGGTGAGCGCGATTTCTCGCGCGGCTCTTGCTCGCCGATGTCTAACTTCTGCTCGACGGGACTCGGTGATTTGCTCTTTTTTGAGAATTCCTCCGCTTTGTCATCGACGATAGGTGACTCATCTTTGAATAGTGGCTCTTTAGATTCGCTTATGGTGCTCGTAACGCTAGGTGATCGTGACTTATCCAGTGAAGGCTGTATCGAATCCTTCAGGTCTGCCTTCTCTTCGTCGAGTCGCGGAGATTTCAAGTCGACTTTGTCGTCCTTGACACTCGCGACACTGGGCGACTTTTCGATTGGTAGGTCCATATCCTTGAGGTCTACTTTGTCTATACTTTGTCTAATACTCGGTGATCTAGAACGGTCACTTACTTTTTTGCTATCTGATTTATCACTAGCTACACTGGGAGATCTATCTTTATCAGGTTCTTCAGTCTTATCAATAGCTTTAGGCGATTCTGGCCTATCAAAAATAGGGGATTTAGTTTTCTCTAAATAATCTTGCTCCGTCGCATCTTCAAAGTCCTGCTGCTTGTCCACGGCAATGCTCGGTGACTTGGAACGATCGGCCTCTTTCTTCTCATCGGATTGATCGCTGATTGCGCTTGGAGATTTAGCTTCGTCAATTGGTCCCTTTTCATCGTAATGTTCACTCTCGAAAATTGGCGATTTCTCACGTATCGTTTCCCTTTTGATTGCACTAGGCGACTTCGGCTTATCGGTTTCCTTCTCCTCAGTTTTGCCGTCACTTAGAACACTAGAGGGCTTATCAGAGACAGATTTATCGTCGAACTTCTCACTAGTAATGCTCGGAGATTTAGACCTACCCGCCGGTTCTTTCTCTTCTGGCTGTTTCTCGACTTCTGTTTTCACTTCTTTCACTTTCTCGTCGGTTTCTACGGGCGATTTTAATTTACCGTCACCTATCTTCTCATCATCATCAGTTTTCTTCTCGCTGATGCTGGGAGATCTTGCCTTGTCGGGCAAGCTAACAATTTCCTTTTCCACCAGACTGGGACGTTTATCTTCAACGATTTCTTCAGGCATTTTCTCGGTCGCTTCACTAAGAGATGGAAATTTTTCTGCGACCTTGTCTTCCAGTTCAGTTACTTCAGTTAATTCTTCCGTCTTTACACTAGCGACACTCGGTGACTTGTCTTCGGGTTGGGCCAGCAAATCGGCTTGGGGAGATTTGGAACGTACCGACTCTTTATCTTCAGATTTTTCACTGGACGTGCTCGAGGTATCCTTCTCATCGGGTTTCTCGCTGCTTACGCTTGGCGATCTCGACTTCTCTTTTGGAACAGCGTCCAAAAGCTTGTCATCTTTGCTTTCCGGAGTCGGTGATTTTTCTTTCGCCAGAGATACGTCCTTGTCCGCAATCTGTTTGGATTCTTTCGTGGGTTCGGTTAATTTCTCAGCGATTTCTTCGGTTGCAATGTCTTCCTCACTGATGGGCGTCTTCGCGAAATGCGCTTCATGCTTATCGGGTGATTTCGAGAAAATTGTCTCAGCTGGTGAAACGTCCTCTGATCGGAGAGATTCGGGTGTCTTCGGGATAGTCGCTCCTTCCTTTACAGGTTCCGGAAGTATCTTTTCAATTGGAAGCGTCGGTTTCTCCATTGTTTCTTCTACTGGAGACTTCTCTAGAGGTGATTTTAGTTTCTGCACGTCCTCGTGTTGCTTGAGCTCCTCAGTAACTGCTTCCACGATGGGCTTTGCTTCATCGATCTTTCCAATCGCCTCCTCGAGCGGCGATGGAGACTTCGGCTTGTCCATCTTCTCTCCGACTTCCTCGGCGGGAGACTTCGGCTTTTCAGTTTGATCCTTGACCTCCTCCGCGGGAGATTTAGGCTCGTCGACTTGTTCGGTGGCGGGTTCAATGGGAGATTTGGCCTTCTCGATTTCGCTCGTGTCCTTGACGGGAGATTTTGGTTTCGCGTACTTCGGTTTATGCGGTTCTGATTTCTCCAAACTATCTTCAAGATCCTGCGAATCGCGAGTACCGACAGGGGACTTTTCCAAGCTGTCTTCCGGGGTAACTTTGTCCTTAACGTCGGTGACGGATTTCTCGGAGATGCTATCTTTTTCCGGTGTGCTGACCCCTGAATGCAACGAATCCTTGTCCATAAGCAAGGAATCTTTGTCTGGTGTGGACTTAACCGACGCATCCTTAAGAGAATCGTCCGGAGTGACGGTCTTCGTGAAGGTTATAGTACCAGTTGGGCAAATCTCGGTTTCTTCCCTGCCATCTTCGCTGCTCGCCGTCACTAACATCCTTTTCACAGTGCCGGTGTCTTCTTCGGTTTTTATTGGTTTGTCCTCAGGTGATTTCTCAGTTTCATCTTTAACTTTTTCAGGAAGCTTGACGTCTTCGACTTTTATCTTTGGTGCTTCACCGTCTGATTCCTGTGAAACGCTCCTCTTTCTACGTGAGGCTTCCTCGAGTTCTTCCTGAGGACTTTTTTCATCCTTGATTTCTGTAGTTTCGAGTAGTTTGAGTTTCTTATCGTCCTCGAGTAGTTCTACCTTCGGTTCTTTCGCGAAGCCTGTCGCGTCCGCTAATTTTGTTTCCTCTTCAGGATGCTCAATAGTTTTCGATACTTCTTCTTTTGTCGGAGTTGCCGGTTTTGATTTCACATCCTTTGTTGGGATTCGCGACTCATCGATTTTTTGATCAGTTCTTTTCATCTCGTCCGTGATGGGCTTGTCGTCGACTGCCTTTGGACTCGGTGCAGTCGGTTTAGAAATAACTTCTGGCACGATAGTCGTGCTAATTGATGGCCGCTTATCGGAAACGACGTCTTGAGGCGTCTCCTTTTCTTTGACTTCTTTGGGTTCCTCCACTTTTTCAATAGGAGGTTTTTCTGTCTTGTCAGAGACTGGCGATACTGATTTCGTGGTGGGCTCTTTCGGGAGAATGTCGTCCGTCTTTTCTTTAGATTCATCCAAGTACTTCTCAATGGTATCAACGACTTCTGATACCTCGGATATCTCCGGTTCCTCGGGTTCTCGTTTCTCGTCGTCGCTTTTAACGCTCTCTGTCAAGTCAATGTGGGGTTCTTCCTTCTCCACTTTTCCTTTAGTTTCCTGCACAAATTTCTCGTCCGCCTCAATGACTTCGCTCGTGGTGTCCTCCGCAGCCTCTTCAGCGTCTTCCTTCTCTCGCATCTCGTCCGCTTTTTCAGGAGACGTTACTGACAAGTCGTGCACCTTATACTCCTGCTCGACTGCCTCGAAATCATCTATTACATCCTTTTCGTGCTCCTTCGCAGCTAATGGTGACATTTCGTCTTTGACAGGAGACGCCTCCTTTTTCTTCACATCTATCTTATCGTCAGAGATCCTCCTGGGTACACTCACAAAGCCATCCACCAATTTCTCTTCTTCGCCGTCTTCTTCAGACAACTCTTCTTTGCCGACTTCATGTTCAGGCATGTCTTCTTCTTTGTCTTCTTTCATCTCAACCGGGGATTTTGTTTCTTTATCGAGACTAGAGACTTCAACGATCGATTTTCTTTTCTCAACTGGTACATCCGGTTCTGGTGACCGTTCTTTTTCTTCAATGATGCGAGACACTTCTTCCTCAGTCACGTTTAGCACTGAATGCCTCGGCATCTTCCTCTTGATAATGATCTCCTCAATAATCTCAATAATAATTCTCTTAGGTACCTTCTTTTTACCGCAGATTTCTTCGAGTTTTTGAACAGTGATGCTGTCACCTTTGCTGATGTATTCATTAATAATGTAATCTTCAACTTCCGCTCGCTTTTGCGAAGTTACCGGTTCCTTCGCCTCCGAAATAGGAACTTCAGTAATTGATTTTCGCTTCTCATCTGAGATCTCTGCCTGTGGCTCTTCTTCTTGCTCTTGATCCTCGGGTGTTTCTCCAATTATCGCCGAGATTTCTTCCTCGGTAATCTCAAGTACCGTATTTCTGGGGATCTTTTTTTTAACAATGATTTCTTCGATGATTTCGATGAGAATTCGTTTGGGAACGGTTTGTTTGGCGGAAATCTCATCGATCGTTGACTTGTTCATTTTCTTACCCTTCACGACGTATTCGTTGACGACGAATTCCTCCACTTCCACTCGTTTCTGCGGCATAATCGGTTCCTCCACTTCTACTGCAGCGCTGGTAATTTCCACAATCGACTCTCGTTTCTCGGTGATGTCTATTTTCGGTGTTACCTGCTCCTCCGCTGATTCTTCCGGCGATTCTTCCGGCGATTCCTCTTGGATTATTTCCGACAACACCTCGTCGGGAACGTCGAAAACCATGTGTCTGACAATCTTCCTCTTAATGATGATCTCCTCGATGATTTCGATAACGATTTTCTTAGGCACAACTTTCTTGATAGAGATTTCCTCGACGACTTGTATAGTAATCCGCTTGCCTTTGACGATATACTCGTTAACAATATATTCCTCGACTTCTATTCTCTTCTCAGGCGTGATCGGTTCCTTCAGCTTAAGAATCTCAGGATCGTCCACCACGCTCTCTCTTGGCAGTCCCTTTTTCACGATGATCTCCTCAATTATGTAGATCACGCGCTCCTTGGGAATGCGCTTCACCACGGTGATATACTCGATTACCTCGATAGTGATTTTCTTCTTCTTTGTGATAATTAGTTCCTCGATTATTTCTTCGACGGGCGCTTCTTTGCCGAGAACTTCCTTCACATCCTCAGGCAATTTTGGCGTTTCTACAGCTTCTGGGCGACCCAACTCCAATTCTTCATCGTACATTTTGTCAGTGCTGAATTTCGGCGAAGTCGGAGCAGAATCGGGCGTTACCATCACTATTTCCGCCTTCGCCGGGGATACTTTCTGCTCGAAGCCTATCACGGGCTGCTCTACCTCGTCCTCTGACAGCTTACCTTCAAGAGACGGTCGCTTCGCCACTTCCTTCACACACACGGTCTCGATGCCGGCTTGCAGTACATCCATTTGAGACAAATCCTGCTCGGCCGGTTTCTCATGTTTACAAACATGTTCATCGTCCTTTAACATCTCCTCACAAATCTTCTGGGCGCCCTTTATATCTTTCGCGATGTCTTCCTTTATGGGTACCGCCATTATTTCCTCCTCTTTTTTAGTTACCTTCACGCAGGGTTCTTCCTTCACCTTGGCAGCGTCGGTTTCATATGTTGCGAGTGGTTTTTCGGGTTCCTGGATGAGTTCTTCAACTTCTTCATGGGCCGGGATTTCTTCAGTAACACCGACTTTCCTCGGCATCACGACAGACTCGAAATCAGGTTTAGGTACTTTCTTGTCTAATTCGGCGACCTCTTCCGGAGATTCCTTCTCGCTTGGCACAGAAGACTTCTTCTCCGCCGAGATCGGCGAGATTTCTTCTTTTGAAAGTTTTCTGTCCGTCGGAACTGGCGAAATTTCTTCTCTCGAAGGCTTCCCGTCCGTTGGAATTGGCGAAATCTCTTTCTTTTTAGCAGGCTCCTCAAATAGTGCCTTGTGAGAAAGGAAGTCATCTTCCTTAAGAACCTCCGCAACTTTTTTCACGATCTCTACGACATCCTTAGACTTATCTTCGAGCTCAATACCGGCAGTACCGGCGAGAACTTCTCCGACATCTCTGACAGCTTCTTTTACATCCCTGAATGGTCCCTCTGGCTCTTCCTCGTATTCCTCCTCGAAGTCTTCATCCTTTGGTATATCAAACTTGACTTTCTCTGGCTCCTTTGTGTCAGGCAACTGACTTTCGATATGTGGCTTGATCTCCTCCAACTTTTCGATCACCCCTTCTAAGGTGTCTTTCACTGCATCCGACAAAGCAGGTTGTAGTTCGTGTAACGCGGCGGCCATTTCTTCCTCCTCTTTGATTTTTTCCTCCAAAGACTCCAAGGAATCTCTCAAACTGTCTTTGACAGTTTTGAACTTTTTCGACGCTTCCTCCAAAAGAGCCTTCACCTCCTCGGCGTCTTCCTCTATACCTTCTTCTTTCAGAAGCTCGATCTCCTTTGCGATTTCTTGATCTTCGAGCGATTTCGTCGGCGAAAGGACTGGAGACTTCACTTTCGTGAACGGTGCCGCTTCGATGTCGACCTTAGTAATGATCTCTCCCGGTTTATCAGTCGGAAGCTTCTCTTCAATGTCTGATACACTTTTCCTCTTCGCGTCCAGTATTTCCTGTTGTATGAATGCTGCCGTTTCTTTGATCGCAGCCATTTTTACGTCCGCGATTGTGGGTTGCACCTCTTCGAATGTCTCAGGCTTATCGGTGGGTTTGCCGACTTTGGGGAACATCTTCTCCATGTCGACCTCTTCCAGAAGCGTTTTCTCTTGTACTTTTACTTCTTTCGGGGAACTCGATTTTGAAGATGACTTCTCATCGGAGTCCTTGTCGGTATCTTTCTTCGTCTTCTTAGTTAACTTATCGATGCCTTTCTCGAACTTGTCAGCAACCTTGCCAAAGAAGCTGAAGACACCCTTTTGCTCCTTGATAGGCGGCGTAGGCGGCTCTTTAATCTCTTGCGGTGTCGGCAACGGCTTCTCCTCTTTTCGCTTCTCGAAGTCTTCCATCCTGTATAGTTTCGGATCGACTTCCTCATGAACCGGAAGATCGGCAACCTCGTCGGGTGTCTTGACGATGTCCCTCTGTAGATTCTGTATCGCTTGACGAACATCAAACACCTTGACTTCCGGCTTTACAGGTGCGGGAATAGCTTCCAGTACGACTTCTTCCCTCAACTTCGCCGGCGCATCTTTCTCTTTTACCTCCTCGATAACATGTTTCTCGTCAATGTCCTCCTTTATCTCGTCCAACGGTATTCGCTCGTCTTCGGGTAAAGTCGGAGCGGTGGTGGTAGCTCCGGATTCTATCGTGGAGATGCGCTCTTGGGACTCTTCCATCTTCTCTAGAATCTGCTCCTTTTGGTCGACGTCCGGTTTTATGTCAGTGTCAGTGATCTTCTTCTCCGACGAATCCAACTTGTCCGGACTCAGGCTGGACGGTTCTTTCGTGATATCCTCGCTGTCCTTCTTGCCGGAATCGTCTTTCTCTTCGACCTTCTGCACAATCTCAGTCGCGGAGGCTATTATCTCCTTCACTTCCGCCTGTAATTGCTCCTTGTGCTCGGTGGACAGGTCAGCGACTTCCTTCTCTTCTTTCTCGATTTTTTTCTCTGGGCTTTCGTCTTTTCCCTTCTCCTCGGGCTCTTCTTTCTCGTCCTTTTCCTTCATTGCCTCTATGTCTTTCAAGATCTTCGCCTTTTCCGACTCGGCTTCGTCAAGAACATGCTTCTGTTCACCTTCACCGCTCTGAACGGAGTCTTCGGTGTAGACCTCCTCTTTCTCCACAATAAGATACTCGTCTTCCTCGGTCAATTCTTGACTCTCTTTTCGGGAACCTTCCTTCTTAGGCGCGTCCTCAATTTCGGCGGTGACGTCCTCCTCTGTAATGTCCTCCTCTTTCTTGTCAGTGGCTTCAGCTGTGATTTCGTCGTCTCCCTCAAAACGATCGTCCTTTCGAGTCTCTTCGATTCTCTCGGCTTTTTGGAGCACAGCTTCGATCTCCTCAACGACCTCTCGCTCTTCTTTTAGATCCGCTAGCACTTTGCTCTCTATTGAATCCAATGAAATATCCTCCGACTGCTCAATTAAACTCTTATCGATCGGTTTCACCGCCTCTGGTTCAATACCGGACGGAGTGGAAACCGTGGACGAATCGGTGGTCCCTTTGTCACCTTTTACCTTGCGAATGACGCCGTCTTTGTCCGATTTCACGGAGGTGGTCGGCGTACTGCGGGTGGACTTGGCCGGGCTGCCTGGCATACGAGCTTTGCTCGGACTTACTGGTTTGGTACGACGGCTGATCGGCTTCCGATCCATCGGTTTCGGCTTAGCCGAGACTTTAACGACAGGCGCCGCCGTGGTATCCTTTGTGCCGGACTTCTCAATATTCTTCTGTTCTACCACCTTCCTGTTGTTGGCCTCCTTGGCGCTCTTCGCCGGAAGACTGGGCGCGACCTTAGGCGCTGGTCGCACCTTCGGTACGGCTTTCGAAATTTCTGTTTTTGTGGCGGTGCCGTTAAGGGTCTTCTTCGGAGTAGTCGAGGAAATCTTCACGGCGTCTTTTTTCTCCGCGCTAGAAGGTTTCGTTCTCTTCCCGCTCGGCTTTGGCTTCGGCATTGCTTCGCCCTTCGCGGCCCTCAACATGGCTCTGCCTTCTTTCGGTTCCTTTTTCTTCGGTTCGGGTTTCGCTTTGGGTTCCTTTGGCGCAGTCTTCTCGGGTTCCGGTTTAATTAAATCAGTCTTTTTGATATCATCCTTCTCGACTTTCTCCACCTTCTCTTTAGCCGGCTCCTTCTTTGCTTCCTTCTTCACTTCTTTCAGCTCCTTCTCGATTTTCTTGCTCTCTTTCATATCGGGCTCAAGCTTCTTCGTTTCCTTCGCCTCGGTCTCAACCTTTTTATTCTCCGCGATCTTCTTTGTCTTTATCTCGGACTTGGGTTTACTTATGGGAATAATCGGCGTGGATTGGGGAGTAATCTTCGGTGTCTCCTCTACGGCTTTGATCGACTTGGGCTCCGATGGTTCTCTCTTCCTTAACTCAGAGACCTTCTTGGATTCTTTCTCGATGAGGCTGAGCTTCTGCTTAGTCGGCTTGTCGCGGAGCGTCGCCAACGACGTCGACGGTGATAGTGTTTTCGCGGAGCATACCGGATGCTTAAGGAAATCTAAGTGCTTCAGCCGCTCGAATCCCTCGAAGATCTTGTGCTGCGGTGTGCTGCCGGGAAAGAGGATTCGTGTGATAGTATCCTCTGGATTAGCCGGCTGCCAGACCAGAAGCGCACATATCGAAACGAGATTTTGAATGGGGAATGTAAGATTGTTTGAGTCCTTTTTATGGGAGCCGGCAAACAGTTTCGAATCCGACGCATGCCACTTCACCAGAAATTCGCGCACCTCGCGACTGTCCTTGCTCGGGCTGAGAACGTACATGTCCAGTGTACCGTGACCCACCTTGTGGTACAGATTGATCGGATCGGGATCCCTGTAGCAAGGATGAGCACGGAGACTGATGTGCCGTAAATTCAACACCATCTCCTGACCAATGTCGGTAAGATTCAGAATCAGGGGATCGATGTCTTTATCACCGTCCGGTGAATTTGATTGTCTTCTTTCCTGTTCGCATATAATACGTATTATTTGTACCAGCTTATCAACAGTGGAATGAATATGGACAACAAATGTTACAAATCATCAATGATTATTAGACATATATTTTTAGATCTTTTTTGAAAAAAAATTTAAAAAATAAAAAATATTTATGGGTACTAATAACATCTTTTTACTCACATTAACATATTTTTCAATTAAGAAAATATACATTCTCTTAAAAGCTTAGTTTTTCATAAAAAAGCAATTATATTGTTTATTACAATATATTTAAATAAAAAATTTAGATTTTCATAAATATATTATTAATATACCATCAAATAAATATTTTTTTATTTTTTAATGTTTTTTCTCTCAGTTATATCATTTCCTTTTCTTTTTTTGTATTTTTATGTAATATGTTTTTCCTTTCCTTTTTTTTTATATATATATTGCGTCAAAAAAATTACTTCCATATAAATAAATATTTAGCATTATTATTAAATAAGAGTGTTATGAAATGAAGAATACTTACAACTAAGTTACAGAAGAAATAGCCGATCTGAGGATAGACGTGCATCTCTTTCTTCTTACGAAGGACACTGAACATGCCGCCGATGTTGCTATTATTTATCCTAGTGACTAGAACTGCGTCCAACCGGTCCAAATGCCTGGTGAAGTCCCAGAAGCAAGCTTTCCTGGCGAAGCCGCCGTCGACGAGCATGTTGAAGCCGTTTATACCGAAAAGCGCGGCGTCACCTTGCCCACCGGGGAAGACGTATAAAGTCGGATGGCTAAATCTAATGTTTCCAACGACGTCGGACGGTTCCATGAGCTGGTCTAATGTTTGCGCCACGAGATACTGTCCGATGTAATTCGTGAAACTCGTGATGGCCAGCATACCGGCTGTGAGAACATCGTCGGGATTTACTCTGACCCTACAAGATCTGTAGACAGAAGAGTGATGATAACAACATCAAAAAAGACATTCAACAGACGGTTCACATAATATTTATTCATACATAAAAATTTAATATTAGGTGTACAACTTTGCTTCCGCCGTTTTCCTATAGATGGCTTTAGCGATAAGTGGTGGTCGAAATAAATAGATCATAGACGTCATACAATAAACTTGGGCATCTGTCAACATAACCCCATAGAAACATTAGTCGATTTGTGTCTGCATCATAAAGTTATTCTCGATTGAAAATGTCAGTTTACGAGCCAAATTCTCGTCATTTGCGGGAAGTTTTAATTTTCTGCTTCAATATGAAGAAATCTGCGGCTGAAGCTCATCGAATACTCTCAAATACTTATGGTGAGGCCGCTATTAGTGAAAGAACGTGTCGTGAGTGGGGGGTTTCAACGCTTCAAGAACGGTGATTTTGACGTCGAAGACCGGCATAGCGGTGAAAGAGAGAAGGTTTTCGAAGATGCAGAATTGGAGGCATTACTTGATCAAAATCAAGAAGAATTGGCACGATCATTGGGAGTGACTCAACAAGCCATTTCAAAACGTCTCAAAGCCATGGGAATGATTCAGAAGCAAGGAAATTGGGTGCCGTACGAATTGAAACCGAGAGATATTGAACGGCGTTTGTTTGCTTGTGAACAGCTGCTTGAAAAGCAAAGACGGAAGGGATTTCTGCATCGCATTGTGATTGGGGACAAAAAATGGGTTCATTACGATAACCTTAAGCGCAGAAAATCATGGGGAGTTCCCGGCCATGCTTCCACGTTGACGGCCAAACCGAATATTTACGGCTCCAAGATCATGCTCTGTATTTGGTGGGACCAGCTCGGCGTAGTGTATTATGAGCTGTTAAAATCGACTGAAATAATCACAGGCGATCGGTATCGAACGCAATTGATGCGTCTGAGCCGAGTATTGAAAGACAAACGGCCGCAATACAACGAAAGACATAATAAAGTAATTTTGCAGCTCGACCCCATGTTGCGAAAGTGGTCAAGACATACTTGGAAACGTTGAAATGGGAAGTCCTATCCCACCCGCCGTATTCTCCAGACGTTGCTCC